ATCAATGCTACAAAAATTGTGCTACATCAGTAGCCTCATGCAGTCTTAAACTGCCTATCTTTATTTCAAGGTGGGGGAGAGGCAATTAACGGGGTTGATGTCTCGCTCAAGAAATTGAAACGATAACTCTCTCCCCCGACCATGGCTTGAACCTGGACCTTTTCATTGGTGGGCCAGCGCTTCCTAAGCTGTTCCTTTTACTCCTTTGAAATAATATTCTTTTGGCACGTCACCAGGGGCTGCATGGATTGATTGGCGCTCGGGGAATCATTGGTGAGGTTGGCTCTAAGGTAAGATGAAAAATGCACATCTTGGATATTCGTTCCCTCTAGGGAAACCCTTGTATAAGCCATAAAGGTATGCGCCCCCTGTAGGTTTGGACTGAGCCGTTACGGCTGAAAACGGGTATCGATTTTGATCATTATGGTCTCATCAAGGGAACCACGAGAGCGTATAAATGTAATTTCGTTTTTAACCCCAAATGAATGATGGCGAAAGAGGAGTAAACAAAATATATCTTTAGAGCTAAATCTTCGGTTGAAATTTACCAATTCTTGACTTTGGTATTGATACCTGGTTTGAAATTGGGTAGAACCGTTAGAGGTTTAACAACGGGTGTGGAAAATATCATATTTTTTCCGAAATCATGGATTTCTCCTGAGATTCCAAATTAATTATTTCTTAACTGGACTTTACAATGAATAAAATCCTTCTACTTATAATTTCTGTTTGTTGGTTTAATTTTTTTTTTTTGCCCTCGTATGCTTAAGAAATCCTCATTTCAAAGTTGAAAAAAACTCAAGTTCAGTTTTTTAACAGGGTGATACAGGAGATCCTGGTGCGAGCGGAAAAGATGGAGCCACAGGAAAGCAGGTTTGAACCAAACGTTTTTCTTTTATTTTACTGATTTGTTTGCTGCATTAACCACCGTTAGGTGTCAGTAACATGGACAAATTGTCTTTTTTTCTTTCATGATTTAGGGGGAGGCTGGAAGGCCAGGTCGAAGAGGTTCCCCTGGAGACAGAGGAAAAGAGGTGAGTTTAAAAGACGATGAGAAAAAAGGTGAGTTTAAAGACGATGAGTTCATGAGTTCATGAATTTCTTTCTTAATCGTAGCGAAAGGCAAATCGCGGCCACTCGTTTCGGGAATAGCCACGATACACTAAGCGGTTTATTGAAGGGACGTGTGGCAACGATGTTGTACCTCCTGTTCCCTGTTCTTTTTGAAATTTGCTTCTTATTGTAAAAACTGAAACACCATCATATGCACTGATCTAATGACTTCAGGTGACCTAACAATATATACTGTTTGAAACTCTCAAGTTGCACTTTTTAGGGCACTTTGGGATCTGGAGGACCCATCGGAAATCCTGGACGTGATGGATTTAAGGTAGGATGAAATGTATCCTTGAACAATTTTCTTTGTCACGTGTTCGTGACAGGACAGAAAACATCTTTCTCGAGAATTTAGCTGTGGACATTCCACGAGGTCTTCTTGTCCATTGTTCCCGGGTCGAAATGGAATTTGGAATGTTGGTTTTTGGAGGTGGAAAAAACCGGAGGACCGGTAGAAAAACCCACTAAGCAAGGGCGAGAACGAAAGACGATCGCAACCCACATGTAACATCGGAATTGAAAGAGACGAATTGAAATCAGGCCACAGCGGTGGGAGAAGAACGCAAATGAGCACCATCCTCGTTCCTCAAGCTGAGTTAGGGTTGTGAGCTTGAAATTGCTGCCACTGTTAGAAGTTTCTCTAAGATTTTATTTCTCATGAGCTGTTTGCTCTTCAATAAGCACAAGGTCGTAAAGCCGAAAATTTTTGTCTTCCACGTACAGGGTGTACCAGGAGAACCCGGTGGACATGGAACAACTGGGCAGCCTGGCCTTCCCGGAATTGCCGGGTCCCCAGGGATGAGGGGAAGCCCTGGATCGAGTGGCATGGACGTAAGTATATCAGAAAAGACGATGTTGTCTTTGACATGGCATGAAACCTTCTGGATCGAACAACTGGCATATATACTGAACTCTGTGGCAAAAAAGCAACTACTATTTATATCTTTTGCCGCTTCATACAACATTATTGCAACCTAGCCCTCCTCATTTTCCATTACTGCATAATAGTGTGTCCAGTGTTGTCCGGGACCCATATTTATATTCCTAAGCGGAGAGAGCTGCTGTTAAAGTTAAGTGTTTCGTTCAGAACCACCACACGATGTCCCGGTTATGGCTCGAACATGAACTGTCCAATCAAATGAAGGAACGGTTGTTACTACAAACGAACGCAAAACCGATTAAAATTGCTATCGTGTTAACCTGGTATAGAAATTTAAAAGCGCCTTTTAACATGACCAAAAGTACCTCACGATTCGTTTCTCACGATTCATGAAACGATGTTTCGATAGATCAAAACACTTCACAGTGTATATTGTTTTATTCTTAATTAATCATTTTTTTTTTTTATTTTTACATTCTTTAGGGAGGAAGAGGAGAGTCAGGCGGTTTGGGATCCAAGGGATTAGCCGGTGAAGCAGTAAGTGGCAGCTTTTATAAAATGGAGGGAACTTCATGATATCATTTAAAGGGTTGTGGTAATGAGAAAGCACTATCGTTTACCTCATAGCCTGCAGTGCCGGCGTATTTTGGGCGCACGAGTGCACATTTTCGTATTAGGCCGCCTCATAGATTTGGTAACTGTGGAGGATTGGGGCGAGGAAATATTTGCTGAGGGAGTAGGTGTTAAGTGGAAAAATGGGCAACGGGGGAGAGGGAGGGGAAGGAGAAGAATAGTATTTTTTCCTTCCCCTCCCTCTCCCCCGTTGCTCATTTTTCCACTTAACACCTACTCCCTCGGCAAATATTTCCTCGCTCCAATCCTCCACAGTTACCAAATCTAAGATGGCGGCCTAATACGAAAACGTGCACTCGTGCGCCCAAAATACACCGGCAATTCAGGCTATTTACCTCACGATGTAGTCTTTCTGTTGTAGATTGCGATACTGCTACTATTATTTGTGCGATGAATTGTTCTGGTTAGTTGTACCATATGAAACAGTTTGCTACGCTGTGATCGGTTCACCGTTTTTGAAACAGCTGTGAGTGACGCAATTCGATGATATGTTCGCTCGGCGAACACAATCGAGCAGAAAGTTATAGATGAGGTTTTCATGTTAGGGGCCAACTAAAACGTGGCACGGCTTCGACGCATGCAACGAGCCCACGATATGAATTATATTGCGTGAACCAAGCATAGGGCTTTCCAACGGTCAAGTAACGCGCGACAATAGCACAATTCAAAATCATTTAGGAATCTACGACTTACATGAGGTCTAATTGCATGACTACTTTTTCTTTTCAGGGAGATGCTGGTGAACCCGGCGAAAATGGAGAAACTGGAATAGTTGGAAATAAAGTAAAAATAATTTCCAGTGAATGGTAACTTAACAGTCGACTTCTAGTTGATTAAACAATTAAGTTCTTCATTACTTTCATTTCCAGGGAGACCGCGGTGATCCTGGTCAGAGGGGTCCCTCGGGAAAACCAGGCCTGAAGGTAACCAAACTATTGTCCATCGATGTTTTCAAGTTTTTGGGGGAGGGAGAGGGTGTGGTATTTCTTACCACGCTTCGGATGGACATTTCGTTCCTCTTTTCACTCTATTATTCTTCTAACTAGACTCTTAAAAAAATTGTAATATGCCAAATATTCAAGTTCTTTTTTTCCTCAGGGACCAGAAGGATCTGTTGGGCAAAAAGGAAACAGAGGTCGAACCGGACCAAGGGTATGTATAAAGATGATGAAAGTCACTAAAATTTCAAGTGCCCACTTTTAGAGAAATATCTAATTACTGTACACGCATCCCTGAAATTCTCAAAGGGCGATTACGGGAAACAGAGCTTGAAGGGAATCTATGACAAATCGACAAGAATAATTAGCATAAAAAGGCCGGGAGTGAGGAGTTTCCGAATCGTTGGTTCCTTAAAGTGCGAGAATCTTCGACGCTAAACGTCTGTTTACGTTAATAGGGACAACTACTCGGAAGGCAGCTTTGTGTTCCTTACATGCGAGAGAACCAAAACTCGAGAAGCTTTCAAAGCTAAAGGTCTTTATCTGGGGAAGACTTTATGAATTTAATCTGGCTAAAGCTTGGCTGTGTCAGACCGGTTTCAGCTGTTGGAGTTTCAGAAACACAACTTTTATATTTTACAGGGCGAAGACGGAGCGTTGGGACGAGCTGGTATCCAGGGCTCTCAAGGTTCACAGGTGAGCTGACATTGTTCTCAGTTAGCGTTTCAATTAAGCTTCTTTAACCCGACACCGAAGTAATTATACTCAAAAACAAATGTGAAAACCAGCAAGAGAAGCTAGTGAGCTTTGAATCTGAATTGAACGCGTCACTTGCCTCACGCACGGGAAAACCCAGCTGGCCAAACCGTGATTGATGTTACGAGTATAACCTCGTTCCCAGGGTCCTCTCTATCGCGGTAGAAGGAGGACTTGAGAACTAAGTTGTTACCGGTTGTTTTTTATTTGTTTTGGGACTGTGATGGTTAAGGCTTCTCAGGGATTCCTGAAAGGATTTTTCAATGTCCGTGAAAAGTGAACTGGTTATATTTTCCTCAAGACGTTCATTTGATTACTGTATCCATGAACTATCGTAAGATATTGGTATTTTGAGCTCCCTCACAACCAACGTTTTTGATTGGTCGAGTTTCACATGATGCCGTAACCTTTGACCAATCAGAGTGCACACATCATTGTCCAACTAAGAAGATATTTCAACCTCAAGTTATCTAAAAGCTTTAAGTACCAACACCTACAATTCCTGATTTCTTTGATTTGGAGGCTAAATTGGAAACCAACAAAATAAAATGATGTGGATTGTAAATTTGCTCTCATTCACGATGGTCACAGTTGTTCAAACGTAGGCGCCACATCACTGAATATATGATTTTCTGTTGATTTTAGGGAATCGATGGTCTGAGTGGTTTTCCAGGAGAAAGGGTATGAGAAAATTTCTTCCCCCTGCCTTTTATTTTTGTAGTGAACTATTGTACGGCTTATAGGCCCAACCTTTTCGAGAGGTCAGGGTAACGATCATTTGTCGTCGTGTGGAAAATAAGTGAAGTAAAATGTGCTCGTATAGCAAAAGTACGCGTCGATCGTATTGTCATTTAGTAATTGTATTTTTAGGTCTAGTGTCCTGTATTTAAGTAAGCATGTGAACTGGGTAATTTTTATCCTATTTTGATGATATTCGATATAAACTGAGGCCTGCCCTGAACGGTACCAGAAAGGAATTGTTTAACCTCTTCCACCCTAACATCAGCATGCATATTCTCCATACATTACCCAAGGTGCTGACAAGGAGAATTTGTTTAGCAATCAAGAGTGTCTTTAGTTAGTGATCATTTCCTTGATTCTCCTGACCTTAATGTGGGATTCAGGGGTGATATTGTAAGGAGAAATTAGATGCTCATGACTCTTAGGAGTCAAAGTGTTAAGCGATATATTTAAGTATGACGGTTATTTGACATTTGTTGATACACTTTCTTTTTATTAATAGGGCGATGCTGGCCACAGGGTAAGCAGTGTTGATAATTGACAAAGTAACTTATCATTGAAGTGTTGTAATGATAATATTACAGGGTCATGTTTGTTTCTCAAAATCTCATTTATCTCTTTTTGCAATAGGGACCTGAAGGAGATAGGGTATGATTTACCTTTCTTGTTTTGTGAAAACGAAATAACAAATATGCAGACACTGATTTGAACATATCAAAGTGGTAACTCTGTGACATTAATGTAATTATAATTGTTTTGGTCATAGGGTATGCCTGGACCTACCGGACCCCCAGGACCCCCGGTGAGTAATGTTACGTACTTCAACTTAGGGTGAGTGGGGAAAACAGCTATCAAACGTCGGGCATGCACAAGGGGGCCAATTTTGGCTGGCTGCGCACCAATTTCCCGCGCGAAAGTTCGTAGGAAAACATAGGAAACAACTGCTGTCACGCAAATTATGCGAAAAAAGGAAGGATATGCAAAAAAATATGCGTTAAGATCTGTGAATAAAAATTAAAGCAATCATAGAAATCTGTGAAAAGAAACAAAACTAGGAGAAAGGAAAACGCAATACTTTTCGAACACAACGATTTCTTAAGTACGAGTATCTTGTTGATTTACTACATTTTATTTAGCTTTATCAAAACATTCACACATTTTTACTACTTACTTGACAAACTGAGAGCGCGCCAGCTGGCCATTACAACATTGCGTCTGCACAAGCAAGTGACCGCTGTGTTGAAGTTTACATAAATAATACCACTCATACACACATTGTATCATTTTTCTTTTCAGGCAGACATAAGATCTCTCAGTGGCTATGTCCAGGTAGATACAATGACAAGTTGCAAAGGCTTTTGCAAGGATATTTTGTAAATCGGATTAGTCTATTATATGGCGGGAAAATTTCTGTTATTTTCGTCCAAAATCGCACGAAATTGTTTGAAATATGACGAGATTCCAATAAAGGACGGAATCGTCGGAAATCGTACTGAACTGTCTTACGGAAATCGGACAGGAAGTTCGACATCGCACGAGAATGCCCGAATTCAGACGGAAACCTCCGAAATTGGAATGAGGTTGAACGAAAACCGAATTTGAGAGCAGTACAAATCGAAGCCAGTGACCCATGATATTTTCGCTTCTTCAATTTTGGTTTAATAGCCTGTTTCTTGTTTCTTTGTCAGCGCTTGAATAACCGAGGCACTGGCTCTTACAGCATTGAAAATGAAAAAGCAAAGCTGTACAGAGGTTCAAAAGATCAGGTAAGGATTGGGAACGGATGTTTTGACTTAGTTTAAAAGTTTACCTCAGGATTGAATGCGATTATTTTGGCCGGCTAAGCAAGGAATTTCATAGCTTAGAGTGGAATAGATACTACGCGATTACGTGTTCCGTTAGCGTTGTTTACTGTCTGACATCACCCTTTTTCTCGAGGAGAAGGTTTCAAAACTTAAAAAACGCTTGGAGCTGTTTTTAATTTTGATCTTTACTTTCTTTTATAGAGCGGAGAGGCTTTAATAGATCCAGTAAGTTAAAAGTAAAAGTAACAGTGACACTGAAAAACTCGGCTGCGCCTCGTAGGTCACTTTTTTGGTCATACCACATCTCGACGTCACCTAGGATCTATTACTAAACAGACGCATGGAAACATGGGATCTATTTTACAATTAACGTCAATTTTCTATCGTCTACAACCTTATTGATCATAGAAATGACGTCAACCATGTTGAACTTGAAATTACGGTTTCAGCCGTAACGTATTAATTCTCGTTCCTGTTTAGGTTAAACTTACGTTGGCTTTGATGCATTACGAACTTGAAATGTACAAGCAACCTAATGGCACTAAAGAATTTCCAGCCCGTACGTGTCGAGACCTCGTAGCATGTTATCCAGGTCTCACCAGCGGTAAGTTTTCTTCAACAGTTAAAATGCACTTCGATTAAGTGTCGTTGAGCCAAATCAAAATAAATCACTACAACCAATCAGAACAAAGGAAATATTACAAGGAATAAGACTTACTCGAAGCAAAAATATGCAAATTGCTTTCAAGCGCGGGAAAAGGCGGGTGACCACTGTATCATTGCATCTCATTGGTTAAGAGATTGGCTGGAGTTTTCTCGACCAATCACGGAGTGAAGGAAATAGAACCAATGCAAAATCAGATTGATTTCAATACCAGATCGATAATTTCACTAAGTGGCCGCCATTTTGCCCAGACCGGTATTTGTTTTCGTAGCACTGACAACTTCCTCCCCGCCCCTTCATGTTGTTTGAAGATTTTGACGTGTTTAATTTTTCCTGATATGCCCTACGGAAGTTAATGAGAGGAATGTTAAATCTTCTTCTAAGGATATAGGGCCAAAAATTCTCGAAAAGTTGACACAATGAACAGTTGGATAGTTGCTAAGCTATTAATATGCAAACAACCAAAATTGACTCAGTCGAATCACATTCCTAAAGGTGACTTTTGGATTGACCCAAATGAGGGCGTGCCCGATGATGCTGTCAAAGTTTACTGTGACTTCTCCTTCAACGCAACTTGTTTACACTCCAACAATGAAAAGAAGGTATGCTGGGTAGGACGAAAGGCTAACAATCGAAACGTCAGCTTTTGGAACTCCCTACGGTGACCAATTGACACTATCAACTCCGTTGATAAAACCAAATTCTCTTGTTATACCCCCCCCCCCCTTCCTACTGATGCAGCACTACAGTTTCTTTAGAAACCTACCCCAATTGTTCTATGGTATGTTAAGTATAATAATTTTAGATTAATGATTTTCCTAATGTTTTTAAAATTTATATAATGAGCAGTTAAGAAATTGTTTTCTTATCTTGGCATTTTAGCTCTTTTTCGAGTAAGTTTTGTTATCACTTTCTTTTCTTCAAACGACATGTTTACTTTATTGAATAACCAGGCTTGGAAAAAAAGATTTTACCGATGTTTTGTGTCAAGAACTAAATCACTCCTTCGGTAATATGTTCTGGGTGTTATTAGGCAACCGATTAAGAGAAACTCACTTAACTCTTGAATCTTAATTAGCTCGACTCGCTCGTGTCCCTATGGAGAATGTGCACCTTGAAGTTGTTGAAGTTGAAGTTCATTTATTTGTTAAGGCAGGTTGATTAATTGGCAGCTGTAATAGCTGATGTGGACCTGCTGTCCTAACCTACCCATCCCACCCCAGGGGAGGACATCCATCACACAGCAATCTCGTGTGTGGGAAATTAACGTCTCCTGCCCCAACCCTGCAGGAGACGGGACCTCCATTTATTCGTCCCTATCCGAGAAGACTAGAATATCTTACCATTTCTTGATGTCATAGAAAGGTAGCAAATTCTTCTCAATTATTTTAAGACCTTGAGTGTTGGTCCGGCCGGGGCTCGAACCCTCGACCTCCCGCACTACAGTCCAGTGCTCTATCCATTGAGCTAACCGGGAGAAAATGGATAAAAAGAAATGGATATATCTTACTTTACTTTTAATGTTTGGACTACATTCTGTCGATGCAGCCATTCACGATCAGAAAGAGGAAATGGTTCTTAGGACCTGACGAATACAAATGGCTTGGAGCAGATCTTGGCGCCTTTAACAAGGTGACAACGAATAATTTCCTATTAATACGTTAATGGCCGTCAAAAAATCACTTTTCTTAAATAGCTGATAACTATCAAGGTAAACTACTTGTAAATATTAGAGAGATTTTCGATTGAGTGTCCTAAAAACAAGACCCAACTCAAAGTGAAAAGAAGCAAACCGAGTAAAGCGCAGGCGACCAAGTCGTGACTGGTCGTAGTTTTGTATCTGATTGCAATTGGCTGAGAGAGTGTTGTGAGTTTTCTGGACCAATCACAGAGTGAAGTAAAGCAAAACCAAGGCAATCGGCCCAGATTACCTTCGACACTCAATTTAAATTTGCATTTTTTCGAAGTTATAATGACTCCCTTGTTTACCGAGATAGAATTGGTATTGTCTGACATGGATATGTTTAACGGAGACGTGCGGCGTTCAATCTAGGGCGAAGTTCATTGGATAAATTGATAAAAGCCATTCTAGATCCCAGCCGGCTCACTAGTACTGAAGACTTTGTGTTGTGTTTTACTTTTACGGTTATTTAGCACAGTAAGGAGGTCATGACTCAATTAACATGCATTAAAAGTTCTCATTTCTGTTTTGCCTGCAGATCAAGTACGTCAAATACTCCAGCCAAATCTCATTTCTTCGCCTGCTGAGTGACCGCGCCCGCCAGTCTATAACCTACCATTGCAAAAACTCTGTAGCCTGGTATGACCAACAGCTTAATGACGTCACCAAGTCATTAAAAATCATGACCGATAATGGTGTGATTATACACTCGAGTTCGTCTAACAAGTTCAAGCCCAGTGTACTCGCAGACAATTGTCAAGTAAGTGAAAGCAAAGGAAGAATAGGGTCGGAACGATACAAATACCTCGACCGAAATAAAATCTTTAATCTAAAATATTAAAAAACATGGCTTTGATAATTAATGTTTGACGGATTTTCTCTAAACTCTACTGAGTTTAGAGTTCTAATTATTTCTGCTCAAGATGTAGTGGACTATTGCCATTAATAGGGAGCCTAAACATTCAGGAAGGCAAGGCCAAGGAAGACGTAGATTAAAAAGTGAATTCATAGTTTTTGTTAGAATTTCGCGAATAGCTGGATATGTTTACCGTCTCTTACGGCGCCACGTCTTGGCTGTCAGCAGCGTTGAGCCCCAAATGGAAAGTAACTAATTTGCCGTCGAGGTTTCTCTTTCAGATCACGCAAATTTCGATGATTTTACGTTGTTGTTTTACAGAGGACGGCGGAGAAATGCACTAAGTGTTGAAACGCACGTGCTGGCCATTGTTCTGCCAACTAGATCTTTTACTTTCCCACGTCCTTGTTGCCGTCACTGTCGTGGTTTGGTTAAGGTCCTTTTTATCAAAGGGACTTGAGCGATTAAATACAGCTTCTTAAAGGGGTTTATCATTTTCTTTTCATTCCGTTCTAGGTAAAGAACGGCACGTGGCTTTACACCATAATTCAAGTGGACACGCCCAAACCAAACCGACTTCCAGTACGAGATGTAGCTGCGTACGACATCGGAGACGAAAACGAAGAATTTGGACTGGAAATTGGACCTGTTTGCTTTTATTAATCTTTTTATTCTCTCTTTTATCTTCTTATAACATGCCGTTGAAGTAAACTCAAGGAATTTGTACCATATGTTTTAACTTATTGTGTGGACTGCTTGAATGATATTTTAAATAGCCAATTATAATTCAGCTAATTCTCCACCTTTTGTTTGAGTTATTTGTGGTCTATTTAACCCTCTCACTCCCAGGATCGTATTAGCAATTCTCCTAAATGTATGCTATGCAATTCTTACGATGTTCCTCTGAAGAATTTGGTATTGGATCAATTAATAATCTCCTAATTGATATTTTTCGTTATTCTCATCACTTGTCTGCTTGATATTGTGAGGAGAAATTAAGTCTTGGTCACTCGTGGGAGTTAGAGTTATTAAGCAATAGGCCGCACTTCCTGTCGGTTTACCGGATGAAAGCGCGGGAAAAGGCGGATGACCACTGTATCATTGCATCTGATTGGTTAAGAGATTGGCTGGAGTGAAAACCCGCGCATGATGTCGGGAGAACACGAGAAAAGTTTGCAGATAACGAGCCGGAGCAGATTGATTAACAAACGTTTTGAGTATTACACCGGTAAACCGATACACAATGCGGTCTATTGCTTTTCACAAAATTACCTCCAATTTGCTATAGGTTTACCAGTGCAATAAACAATAGGTTTATAACCAATCAGATCACCCCCTAGTATCTCGGTTATGTTGTAAAACCCATTAATGCTTTGTCCCTGGCAAACCGAACTACTTCGATAAACGTTTGATCGGTTTTAACCATGACGGTGCTTTGAAAATGATCTTGTCTGAAAGGTGTCATCTTCCAAGTTTGCAAAGATATTTCTGTACTTAGATCTAGCCTCGTGTTCTAGAGATGATTTTTGACCTGCTAGGTGGCTAAGGAATTTGTAGATTTGATCAAAGAACGTAGCTGTGACTACGATGCAAAAAATTGAAGCCTACTCGCAGGGTTGTTTGATTTTCAGACCCTTCTTGGATCACTTTGATGTCAATCCTGAGTCGCTTTGAGCAATTCACTGTTGTGACCAAAGTATTAGTTGTTTTATGAAGTTGCTTTGTCAACTCCAACCTGTTTCCTTTACCGTTTTTCAACTCAAGGCTTGTTTATCCCTTTGGCCCCCCTGAGAGCCTAGCATGTCAACCCTTTATTATACAAGAGAACAAAGGAAATGATCACCTACTAAACAAGCTCTTGATTGTTAAACAAATTCTCCTTGTCAGCACCTTAGGAAATGTCTAAAGAATAGTATGGAGAATATGCATACTGAGGGTGTAAACGGTTCTAACAAAGCTCCCACAAGATAAATACTCAACCCTCTTGCAAGTGGATATTTTCAAATGATGTCTGTAATAAAACAACACTTTGTCCATTCTCTCATCCTACAAAAGGCCATGCCCATGGCTGTTGTAAAATTACTCCAAATGTCCTTTGTTTTGTCTATTACCACAAGCAAACCTCTTTGCAATCTTGACAGTGTAAAGTGATATTGTTGCAATGACTTAGCAAGCAAATGTGGGCACTCCGTTGAATGTGATCCTGGTAAAACAACAAATGAAAAAGATTGAATATAGTAAGGCCAATTTTATGCTTGACACTAAGCAATATTTCCTGTACTGAAATCAGGTTGGTATTCATCCCCCCTCAAATATTGTCTTAGGGAGGTTACAGACCCCATGTGTTGTTCTATGGTGCACTCTTGCTATGAACAGTAGCTTAAATGCATTATGATAATAAAATTAACTTGATTGAACCAATTGTTATAAATTTTTTTTTTTTTTCACATTTTGGCTTTTTTATAGCCTTATAATATACATGAAAAAAATTCTCAGTTCTGATTGGTTAAGATGAATGCAGTTTTCAGTTAATTCAGTGCAGCAGAGAGTTAATTTAGTGCAAAGAAAGAAACAAACCAGACATTCTGATTGGTCAGAATGATTGGTCAATGTAAATGTCAAGCTCATTGTCACTTGTAGGGTTTGAATAAATTATTTTTGCACGTGATGTGCGCGCTTTTCTTCTGCGTAGTTATGAGAAGCTACCTCGTATTTTTTCACGTATATTATGAATAGATAATCACATGATTTTCTCGTGCAATTTGGAATAAATAAGCACTTGTAAATTTTTTCAAAGACCACAAATTGCACTCGCCCTACGGGCTCATGCAATTTTGTTAGTCTTTGAAAAAATTTACTCGTGCTTATTTATTCCAAATTGTACTCGAAATCATGTGATTACCTGTACAAACATTATTTTATTCACTAACATGGAGGCCAACAGTGGTGGACATTTATTGAGCTACAAAACAGCGAGGTCAATATCCACCACTTTCGCCAACACTGGGGTGAGTAATAATTGTTTTAGTAATACTTCACAGAAACTGAAACATCAGTTTCTTACTTCCAACAAACTGAAAAATGGTCAGAGGGTAAACTCCTGCCATGCGATTTTGTCTCTTCAGCTTCTTGGAGGTAAATAGTACTTGTTATTCACTTCCAAACTGGCCAATCAGTGTGCATGAAAAGTACTATTCACTTGTGTGGTATTCCTAATGCATGACATTACTGCTTTGAAGACAACAATCATTCCAAAAATAGTTCTGGTGTTCCTGGGTCCAGTTCAGCATTTTACAAACCACTATAAATAACAGGATATTTTATAGTAAACCTAGCTAGGCCTAGAAATAGTAAAACATAAACTTTTTCAATCTTAAATGTCAGTTGTAAAGGCAATCCCCACCACCAAGATAGATAATTAGATATACTACAGTATTCGTGCGAGTACAACAGGGTACCCAATACAAAAAAGCATAAAATTATTAATTTAAAACATGAATAACAATTAGATTACAACTTCTATCAAATCAATTGAAGAAACTAAAATGGTTCAATATTAGTTTCTACCTCCACTGCTTTTATACAGGACTCATACCAACCAGATATCTGAGTCTTTCAAAGACAAAAAAAGTAACAATGGTATGTGGACCTATTCTCATCCAGTTGGGTATAAATCCTTTATAAAGTCCTAGCAATCCTTCATGTCCAACAATTTTCCCTATACAATGAATGGTATTTCTATAAACCAATGGCTTTCCATTGGCATCTTTCTTCTGGTTCATCATGCGCGTTTTCACCACATCAAATGGTGATGTACTGAGAGCTGTCACAAATCCAGCAATGAAAGATGATACACCATGCAGGGCTGGTCCTTCTTCCATCAACTGCGCATTTAATAAAGTATGCTTGGTATGGTCATACGACGGAATTTGTGCTGCTGTCAAAATGGCAGCACGCTGAACTGTTGGACCCACACCTGTCCATAATCCTCTTACACCTTCCTTTTGTGCTATTCTCCAAAATGCATGGAAAGTGTGTCGATATTCTGATTTTTTTCCAGGCCCCAAAGCTTGGAAGCGAACTTTAACTAAGTCTGTGGGTGTGGCAATAGCACTACCTATTGTTCCTGATGTTGCACCAGCCACAATTTTCTTCCACAGAGGAGTGTGAGCAATATCAGTTGCTCCTAACTTAACTTTTAATGGCTCATATGCTCCCAGCCTAATGGTACTGTATGATCCTTCTCTCATCATTGATGGCAGTAACCTAACAAGAAAAACACTTTATTGAGGCTTTGTTCATGAAGACAAAACCCATTGAGTGTGGGTTTTATTCTCATCTGAATATTTCAGAGTTCAGGTGCTGCATTCAACCTTAGTTCACTGCAAATATGTCGCCAAAAACCATGCTGTTGTGGCATGATTCATTAACTGCATCAAAAGAGCAGTGCACTTCGACTTTACTCTTTAAACCCCTAAGAGTGACCAGTAACTAAATTACCTTTACAGCATCACTGCTGAATTGCACAGTAAGGTAATGAGAATAAAAGAAACAATTGCCAACTAAAAAAGCTCATCAGTTGGCAAACAAATTCTCCTCATCAGCACCAGAAGAAATGTACATTTTGTACAGAGAAAAATTTGGAGAATAAGCATAATGATGTAAGGTGTAAAGGGTTATAGCATTGTCCAGAAAACTGTGTTTTGACCAAGCAAGTACCTCTATCTTATCAAAATAACTTTTCCTTGACCTGGCAAAGCTGAACAATCTAAGAGAGCAAACTGCCCATCCTCTGTGAAACCAAGCAAACCTCAAAAAGTTTATCCTTTAACTCCCGAGAACTGATTATCAATTCTCGCCTCTAGCTTCTAGACATTTCCTCGCAAATAAGTTGTAAGAATTTGGTTTTAGATCAAGATGACAACTTCTTTCTAATAAGTTTGTGTATTCTCAATACCTGTTTTGGTGGATAATGCATGGATATTAAAAGGAGAAGTTACATGTTAATCATTTCTAGGAGTTAAGGGTTGGAGCTTTGTAACTTACCCTTTGTAAAGACCACTCAAGCCCTCCTCTGAGAAAATTCGAATACCTCCTCTTATGAACCCCTTATAATAACGGTCTTTAAAAATATTCTTGCTACTATGTTTAGAACCCAATTCATTCTCAAGTTGCATGCGAATCTTGATGACATCTATTGGGTTTGTCACTGCAAAATAAATCAAACGGAAGATTATTACCATATCTCCCAAGTGAAAGATTGTTGCCTTGTAGCACTCATGGAAAATCAAATTGGATGGGCAGTTTTTTAATATTTTTTCAGACCTTCGTCATCTGTGCATTGAGGAAATTTCCATTATTCTCCAGAGATCTCCTTGGTAACCAACTACAACTGAATCAAAACAATGACCAGTCTGTACAACTGAAGATGCTTGAGTAATTCAAAGTTCTGAAGACAATTGCGAGAAAGTTAGGTCACAAACTCATCTACAGAGCTCTCCCTGATAAAATCACAGGATGGCATTTAACGCACAATGTTCACTTCATATATTTCAACTGAGTTTTTTGCAAAACTGTGGCAATAAGTACTGCAAAAGGTATCAACATTTTTCTTGCTCACGTCAAGGTTTGGTTGGCAAGGGTTGAGGGAGAGCTCGTGTGATTAGATAGAAGTTTCAGGCTCATTGAAATGCCTCCCAGTTAGCTCAATGGATAGAGCCCTGGACTGATGTACGGGAGGTCGAGGGTTCGAGCCCCAGCCGGACCAACACTCAAGGTCTTAAAATAATTGAGAAGAATATGCTGCCTTTATAACATCAAGAAATGTTTTAGATACTCTAGTCTTCTCAGATAGGGACGAATAAATGGAGGTCCTGTCTCCTGCAGGGTTAGGGATAGGACACGTTAATTTCCCATGCACGAGATTACTGTGTGACGGATGTCTTCCCCTGGGTTGGGATAGGTGGGTTGTTGTCTTGTGTTTCATACATGAGCCTCTGGCTCGGGCAATATGGGTAACCATGTCCCACATAAAGTAAAAACTTTCAATTGATTGATTACTTTGATTGCATGGGCTCTTTGCATGACTTGATCACGTGATCAAATTTCACTAGACACAAAAACAGTTTGCTTTTGAAAAATTTTGTTAGCACAAGCTGAAAGAGCATATTAAAATTAATAAACTGGAGAATTTACAGCCGCATATCTCAAAAGTAGCGATTGCAACAGCCACTGAAATTTAGAAGCATTAATTTTGTATGAGAAAAAAAAAACTTTTGCCAGCCAGTCACGCTGACATGGTTTTCTATGCAAATCCTTGTAAATTCTAAAATTTTCAAAACTGTCGTTAAATCTTTCCCTTACGCATTTAAGGGCTCAAATTGTCTGTTTTTAATTCAAAGGAGATTTAGGCGTTGTAAATGCTTAGGGAAATATTTTTCTCATACAAACGCTTCTAACTTTCGGCGGCCGTTGCAATCGTTACTTTTGAGATACACGGCTGAAAATTCTCAGGTTACTTAATTTTAATATGCTCTTTCAGCGTGTACTAACAAAATTTTTCAAAAGTGAACTGATTTCGTGTGTACCGAAAATTACTCACGTGGTCAAGTCATTGAAAGCAAGTGGTCTTTCTCAAGTGAGAGAGCCTTTTCTTTTTATGATCTTAGCTTTCTTGATCGAGATTAAAAACGAGCATGGTTGACTTAAAATAAAAGTTAGGAAGTTACCAGAACCTACCTGCTCCACCACACATGTTAGAAATTCCGCTTAGCGCAAATCTTGTCAAATTATCCGATGATTGTGTAGACATTTTAAGGTTCAAAACAGTTTTCAACCGGGTCAGTTACGGTCGACAACGATTAAATGTTCCAGAAGGACAGAACCACTCGATATTTTTCCACTGGCCATGTGGAGAGCCCGGCAGCAGTAACAATTCAAATATCGACAAATTTTTGCTCTCCCGGTGGTGGTGATTGGTTTCTGTCAGCAGACAGGCGGTTAATGACGTTGTCAAGTTGAAGAAGTTTGTCATTTTGACAAGATTTATGATGAATTTTATTGAATTTTGTTTCATCATCTGTTAGCAAAGAAAGTGCTCGGAATTAAGTGTCAAATCTTAACTGTACACGGAGAAAACTCGGATAAGGCGAGTAATTACCGACAGGTATTCTCTAAACTGAAATCAAATAGATAATAAACAAGGGGACGCAAGGGATAGAAATGTTATTTTTATCCCACACCCGGCCAGTTGTCAATCACCCCCGTACTGTCCAATGAGATTTTTTTCACGCGGGTAGGGTGGACACATTTGCAAAATAATTAGCCAATCAGAGGCGAGTAAGTGGATTTTTCTGGGGTGGCCTCAGCCCTGCTTGCTTAAAGCTTCGCCGCCATCGCAGCCGTTTACACGCTTGTAGGGTGGGGAAAGTAGCGACAAAATGGCAACTCCAGGACAGAAGGAGAGAGAGGCCGAGCTTCACTCTGTCCTCAGAGCTGCGAACCTGTTAGACTACTACCCTAGCTTCCTCGAACAAGGAGGCGACGATGTACAACAGTTCTGCGATGCGAGCGAAGATGAGTTCAAAGAAATTGTCGCGTTGGTTGGCATGTCGACGAAGCCACTTCACACTCGTAGGCTGCAGAAAGCTTTGGTGGAATGGAAAAGCAAACGAGGCAATTCTCCAGAACGAATCAGTCCTGGATCTTGGATGGATAAGTGGACTTCTTCGTCTCAAGTCAGTCGAACTCCTCAATCAAGTACATCATCGCCTGTTACTGCTGCAACAACGCCGACAAGTGCTGGACGAAAGCGGCGAGGCAGCTCTGGCGCCGGCAAAAGTGGTCCGGAGAAACGAGTTGTAGAGCTGAAGCTCCCGCCGATGGAGGTCATCATCGACTGGGAAAAACTCGACCCTGAACGACAGCAGTTGATCCGAGATCATTCGCGAATTTACGGTCGAGATATCAAGAAACGCAAGACTAATACGCTGAACTCACACGAACAAATGATCAATGAAGCCGCAGCACAACTTTGTCTTCGAGATCCGACACTTCTAGTTCGACGCGATGAATTGTTTACAATGGCCAGGCGAGTTGTTCGTGACAGTGGTTTTACCTTTGTGCATGGCCACTCAAGGTCCAAGTTTGTTTCCGAATCAGATGACGAGATGGATGGTGAGTGATTCGCGATAAACTCGTTTGCTAAGTATGCAAAATCGTTTCTGTGTATATCTTTAGGTTAGTTATCTTTCATGTTGGATGAAACATGATATGACGAGTGCCTGGAGACATATTTACCTTCTTTGAATCAGTCAAAAGTAGGTTGCCAAGATCTTATGCTTCTGATCCAGTTTATCATCATTATCATTGTTAGTGTTTCTACCAATATTATCATTATTTGTTGTTTTAATCATCATTGTTATTATAAAAATTATTAGTATATACCACACAGCTGGTGAACAGTGCCTTTTGCACGCACTGATTGGCTGGTTCTTAATTAAGTGATTGGCAATATTATTCACCTCAACGCAGCCAGAGACAATTTCTAGTGACAGTAAATGAACTGCTTTTTTTTTGTTTCTGTTTGGTACATACTAAATCAATTACACTGGAACCCCTATAAATGGGACCCTTATTAAACCAGAATCCTCTCTTTAACAGACCTTTTTTCAGCCTCAAAATCTCTGTCATACGTTTTCTCTATTTTTAACCTCAGTAAACCAGAACCCCTCACTCCCAGAAACCAGATGCCTTTTTCAGTCTATAATCTCATACTGACAAAGAAATTGACTCCATTAAACCAGACATGAAAGTTTTAAGGTTGCCACCAAAATCATATCACATGTTTTTATACGTGATTTAAATTAAATTGTAATCATGCAGCTGTGAAATCCCAATCAGAAGTGAGAAACGCATATCAGCTACTTACTCATTGTTCTATTGGTACTGAGCAAAAAATTTTAAGTTGACAATTGTGCTGCTGTTGTTGGGTTGAATGAAATACAACAATAGGGGTCAGGTTAAAAGCTTCCTTGTGATCCATGTTGTTTGCTCCTTTACTAATGTGCTTTATTAGTAAATAAAGGCTAATGGTTTTGAAAGAAACTGTTTGGGGCAGCGTCGGTGGGAGTAACGAAATAATTTGGATATATCAACTTGGATATATCGCTCCAACAAAGGGCTAACGCTTGAAACGTCAGCTTTTGTAATCGTTACGGTGGCCAATTTACCATTTCAACTTTGTTGATATATCCAAATTATTGCTTTATTAGTACTCATGTACCATAATCATACTGGTACTTACAGTCAGGCAGTACATTATGCAGAGTAAAATTGCCTTGTGGATGAAATCATAGTACACTGAACATCCCTCTAAACTGGACATTTCCTCCAGTCCCAAGGGTGTCCAGTTTAGAGGGGTTCCACTGTATTCACTTCAATGTCTGTGAAAATCGTGGATGTGTACCACACTGCTTCATGGCTTGGCAAACATCCACCACTATTCACCTCCACTTCCTGGTATTCTTAAAAATGTGCATTTTTCCTTGTAGTTGCTAAACAATTTTTTTGTTCAGGAATTGTTTACATATGTGTCACTAACTGTTATCTTACTGTCTCGATGTTTCATTAACCCTTTGATCAATGAAAGTGATTTCTCCTCGTAATATTGCCCCCTGAGTCATTCTTTATTGTAAGTCACAACATTAAAGAGAATGATTATCAATTAATAAAGAAACTCTTGTTTGTCAGCTTAATGTTATATTGATATTGTAAGGATAAATGTTGTCGTGAGAGTTAAAAGGTGAAAGCACTGTACAATGTTGGTTGAGGTGGTTTGTGAGGAGTAGTTCCTGTATCTATTCATTTCAATTACACTGGTAAAGAATGCTGAAAAGTATATGTCAATGGAGGCACATGGCAAAGAGCAACTTCTCTGAAAATGTCAACAAAAGGTACAAATCAATAGACCATCACCAAAGAAAAAAAAAGTATAATGGAATGGGAACAGAAGCAACAAGGCCAAAAATTGACAACCTTAACGAATAGCAGAAAGAGGCAAGAAAAGTAATGCCAACCAGACATACAAACTTGCCACTATTTCGATCCTTTGTTAATTCTCCCTCGATTATTTTTCATCTTAGCATTGTTGTCTTATTTGCCTGAAGATATCGTTGCAATAGAGATGACATATGACTTTTACAACACTTATCGTCTCTCCTGCATCTTCATTATCTATATTATAGGTCTATGATGCATTTTTTTTGGATTAGCTTTTCTCCTGTATTATTTTAAGTTGTAGGATGGTTTTCAAATTATATTTCCGACTACATGTATGTGCATGTAGACCACTTTCATAAATGGCTGCCAGATTAATATTCTTTTGTTAAATTTAAATTAGCCTTGCTGACCTCATTCTCCAGTACAAAATTCAAAAGAAGACATTATCTCAAGCGAGGCCAGAAGGGCTAATTAAAATTTAAACAAAAGAATATTAATCCGGCAGCCATTTATGAAAGTGGTCTATTGTGTGCCTATTTTGTACAAGTTGCAACCTCCTGCGCATGATTCTAAGCTACCTGGAGCTTCTTGTCATTCATACTCACAATGTCCAGGGATATAATCTGAGTTTGACTTTCGTGTTATCCATTTATGTCTGTGTTGGCCTTATTGTTTCCAACAGGTGCAAAAAAGAATCAAGTATCTCAGGCAAACAAACTCAAAAGAGAGGAGCGATTGAATGAAATTGATGATCTTATGCAGAACAACAAAGAATTACAAGAGCAAATAATGCAGAAACTGGATGAAGCAAGATCATTAAATGCAACTGCAGAGGTATAATGTATTTCTTTTTTTTTTTTTTCGCTCGTACTGGTAAGGTAATGTACCCAGCCAGAGCTTTCACCCTTTCACTCCCAAGATTGCAGTGAGAATTCTCCTTACTGTCTGCTATTCAATTCTTGTGACATTAGTTCACAGAATTTGGTAATGGGTTATAGGGTCAACTGCATTTCCTTAGCTTAAAGTCCCATCCCCCATCTGGATAGGATGCTAATCCCATCTCAAGGTTACACCCCTGAGCAATTCATCAGGCTTCCCCGTCAATTCACTGGTCTCCATCCAGAGGCACTGTGAGATTATTGCTTTGCCCACCTCTCGAGTTGGAGTCCAGCACACCAACAAATTGGTTACCATGTCTCCCACTTACTTGTTGATGGATAAGCCTACAACTTTTCATGGAATAAAACAGGTAATAATAATAATGAAGTTTAGGCAACTTAAAGTTGACTTAGTGTAAAATTTTTGCCAGGACTCATCACTTGTTTTGTTTCTGTTATCTCAGATAACTGAGCTTCAGTCTGACCTCAATAAGCTGCAGAGCCAACAAGTTTCATTGCAGCTGGAACACAAAGAGTTGAAGAAAAAACAACGACGATCAGAAAGATATTACACAAACAAACAAACCAAGGACTCAGGATCACAGGGCAACAGTATTCAGGACGAAGAAGTAGACATGGTTGGTGATGTATCATTACAGAGTGACCTCTCTGTGGATGACCCCTCTGAAGAAGGTATTTGAAGTAAATCATGAATACTGTACTTCCTCAATTAAGTGCCCAGATGCTTGTTTAAAATTTCAGTGACTGTGAAAAGAGGTGGGGTGGGGCTATTGAAAGGGGGACACTTATTCTAAGGGGTTGCTTATAAAGAAATGGTCAAATTGAAGCTTTAAAAGTTTAATAAAAAGGTGGCTGTGAAAAGAGCTTTTCTTTTTCTCCCTTCTATTTAAGGGTGGGGGTTGTTTGATGTATATCTTATTAACCAAACGCGAGGGCCGTACTGAGAGGATATTGGCCCAAGGTCTTGACAGTATGGACCAAGTGTAGCTTGGTCCGTACAAAAAAGACAGAGGGCCAATATTCCTCCATTATGGTCCTGAGCAAGCTTGGTTAATAAGAGATTTATTATACGACTGAAGTTCAAAGGGACACAAGTGCGGTATCATTCGGGACCATATGGGACAGTGCCTGGTCCAATACTTAGAGAATAATGGACAGGCAATAGAGCATTTTGATTGGTTGATTTTAGTTATTGGCCCTCTGACTGCCTGAGTCGTGTAATAATATGCTTATATGTTATGATATTATGCCTAAGGGGTAGGTGCTTAAAAGAATTTAATGGCTGGTAGAAAGAAAATTTTTAATCACTAGAAAAAAAATTTGAGTTTAGAATTTGCATACCATTCAAAGCTCAAAAGGCAAAGGAAATGATAGGGCATTAATATTGTTGTCAGCAAAGTTTTTTTCAGCTAAACTTTTGATCACAAATGTTATGCTTTATACCTGGATTCATGACTGGCAAACAGGGATTACCAAATTGGTGACTTTTGCATCAAGTTCAGTTGCCACAATTTTTCAAATCACCATGGCTACAGGAATGCTTGCAACTTACTTGTAGAATGGTGCACACTGAAATTCTTAACCCTTTTAGTCCAAGGAGTGATCATAGAAATGTAGTATTGTGCCTGCAAGGAGAATTAGGGAATTTATGATCTGGGAATTCTAAGTGTGCGTCTTTAATTTGCCAGGTCTTCATCCTGAGAATGCAGAGGAGGAAGCACAGGTTACAACAGTGGAACAGTCCAGGACAGTGACAGTTCCTGAAGCTGTGGTCACTCAAATATTACCACCAGCTACAGGTAGAACAACTGAGAAGCTTTCATTCAGTGATTTGCATAATTGCTTTTGTAATCTTGGAAGAAAAATTAATGTGCTCTGATTGGCAAGGGATGAAGTCATGTTTTGCTTTGATTAACGTTTTTTGAGTTGATTAGAATGCATCAAGAAATTCTCCCCAACGACATAAGAGGTCAAAGTGGACTGATAGCCAGAATCACCTGTACATGGGGAGGTTTGATCTCAGAAAACAACAAACATTGTAAGATAGGACAAGTGTATTTGTCTGACATCATGCAACTATCATGGCACTCACTGAATTTTCTTTGGGAAGGTATCCCTACAACATCGAGCAGTGCTTCAGTCAACCTTCCTCAGCGTCAAGAAGCACTGAACCCAGAAGAGGAGTCATCAGTAAGGGCTCTGTACACTGCTTTCATGCCACAGCACCTACAGGTAAGAACCCATGTACATGCATGCTGTAATTAAAGTTATTGTCTTCAGTTTGAGATATTTCAAAAAGAAGGAGTTTTCTTTCGAGTGTTTAAAAAAATTACCATAATACAACCTCACATAAAGTGGTAAGAAAAATTTTAGGGTGCATGAAAATAAAACCTTGAAGCTCAACACTCCAGCTTATTAAAGTTAGTTTTTGAATATTGGTTAAAATTGCTGATGCTTGGACTACTCCACTCCTTGGACTATAAAGGTAAATGATATGAGTTTGATTCACCAAGTTCAAGTTAGCCGATAGTAAATGGCTGAAAAAATGGGGTCAATTCAGGGGAATTTGAATTTGGTTAACCAAGGTGTTCCTCCCTTTTTGTTTGTTTGACAGACTGAAGTTGTTCAGCAAGTGCAACAGCAAGGAGATGGAGGCCACATTATACCTGCATATTCCTCGGCACTTGTTAGTGCTGCTGTGTCATCAGATCCCACTATCAATGCCTTACTGAGTCTTGGTGCAAAGGATAAGGTTCTGCTTCCAGGAATGTTACCACCTGGTGTGTCTGTGGCTACAGTCCCAGTGACCACAGGTGTGCCTGTTGCAACAACAAGCATGGCCCCTAATATCACTGTGGTGATGCCTGGTCAGCCAATGACAGGCAATGTTCCCTGGTCCTAACTTGGCTCTGGCTAACAAGCTCTTCCAGCAAGGAGCTTAACATGTATATACAGCATTGACTGTGACTGTATCTAATTTAACCACTTGTTAGTGACAATGACTAGATAACCAGCATATGATTTGTATGTGGTGTGCAATATTATTAAGGAAGTCAAACATTTCTCTTTCCCTGGAATTGTTTTCAGTCAAATGCAGGGAAGAATGTTACCTTCAGCCTCCTTGTTAAGACTTAATAATCTAACGTGTCTTTACTGCAGCAGTTTTTCCCAGTATATAGTGTACTCCTTCAAGATGAGAAACTAATCCATTATAAGGTATCCCCAGGTTTTACCCAGTTGCCCCAGACAGTTTGCAATCGGCAGGTTATGGAACAGAATAGTACATGTTTAGTTTACATGCACTGTAGTCACAGTAAACTCTGTTGATATTAAGATGTGTCTGAGGTAATTGTTGAATAAGGCAATTTTCTTTTTTTTTCACCATTAGGTTACTTGTACATTATAGTGTTAGTGGTTAGGTTGAAGAAATTCAGGATACATGTCGGTTGACAATCTTGTTGAATTAAGGATAGATGAATGCGAAGGACGTTTTTTTAGGGGGAGGGGGTGGAGAGTCTTGTGAAAGTGGCTTGTTCAAGGTAGTCAACGAGATAGTGATTATATAAGGATGTTTTGACTAAACAACATATCTGATGTATATTTTGACGATGTCATTTGATTTATGGCAATTAAAAGTTGTTACTGAACTAACCTTTGATATTATCGTAGAATTTGATCGTTTAGGTAGATTTTCTTGGTAAGAACAGGGCAAGATATCCATATACTTTCATACTTAACTATGTAAACAGTTTTTTAATTAAAGCACATAAATCACACATAAAGGTCAGGAGAATAAAGGAAATGATCACCAATAAAGATGCTCTTGATTGTTCAACAAATTCTCCTCGTCAGCACCTTAGGAAATGTATAGAAAACAGTATGGAGAATATGCATACTGATGTTAGGGTGGAAAGGGTCAAAGGAACTGTTTTTGGTAAATGTAACGGACATTTTGACGACCTCGTCCAGCTATATCTTCAGAGTCAGCAGATGGCTGTTTGTCAGTTGAATGCCAGTCTGTCGTCTGTCTGTAGAAGGCTGAGCTATGAAAACTGATTGGTCACCTTTGTTATGAATATTTTGTAGAGGCAGGGGCCCGCTACAATCAAAATCACTTGAAAAAAAGACCTTTAAACAATACGGGAAGAACAATTACAAAGACACAACGAGGCAAATGCTTACCAAATACTGACGGAAATATTCGAAACACGCATAGGGAGGGGTTTAAAAGCAAAATTAAAGCTCACTGCTGTGTTGACTTCCGTAGCGTGGTCACCCGTGGCCAGATCGCTCACATCGAATGCTTTCACGAAAACGTTTTTCGGCCTTCAATTCTGAAGGAACGAGCTTTCCCTCGTCATTCTGTTTATTTAACACTAATGAAAGAACTGAATTGTTCCAAAACTAGCTTCTTCAAGAGTAGTTTAGACGGCATTGACAGAAATAGCTAAATAGGGCAATGTTTATCCAAAATGCATTGAACAAGGGTGTTAAAGAAAGAAAGAAAATACTAAAATTATATAAGCAGTGAGAGGTATAGCACAAACACTTAGAAAATTCAGACATAAACGAAATGAAAAATGAACGAACGCGGAATTCAGCATGCAAGTGAAGTCCCTTGGAAAATTTTTGCGAGGAACACAGTAATTTACCAACTCTCGAACAATTTAAAAAGTCTATTTTTATGAACGATTTTCCGGGGTACCTGTGCAATTTTTTTTTTATTATTTTAGCTTAAGATTCATTGAGATTTTGAAGTTCTCGTTTCTAAAAGAAACGTGAGCGGAACATAAATTTCTGTAGCTGTACATGCATCGATCGACTCACTTTTTTTGACAGATGGTACGAAATATGGCAACAATCTATGTAACCACATCGCGAGATAATAAATATATTTTTCAAAGTGAAAGTGTAAACCGCTTTTCGAATATCAGCGCACCTCAAGACACGCCTTTCCAGAGTTGAGCCGATAAAAACATTGTGGCGTCACTCCAGGTCATAAGGTGGAAAGGTTCGCTGGGTGGACATTCGATGATCCACAATTTCGTGATAAATAACTTAGCACGGTTAATAGAAGGCTTAAAAAAACCGACCAGATGTTCCCCGATCGTGCCTGTAGGCCGGAGGTAAAAACTGTAGCACGTGTAAATCTTCTAACTAACCAAACTATTTGTGGAACTGATAATCTGCAGAGGAAATTGAAAACAGTTTTGTGACCATGTGGGAATGTCGGTGCTACAAAATTACATTTCTTCTGAATTAATCACCACAATTGATCTGTTACTCAGTTACTGGCTTACAAGCTGTTTCTGAGAAAGATATCGGACAACGGTAAGTCTCAGAATTCTTGAATCTGCGTATCACGAAATTTTGACATTAATGATACCTTTCCTAACCTTCTTAACACTACAGATGGATGGATCTATATGATAGCGATATATAAATATATCAAGTTTCAGTTAAAATAAATGCATTTCAATGATCCTTTAGCCTAAAAAAAGTTACGACAATTTTGCCCATTGTTGAAAATTTGGATTTTTCAAGTTTTGCAATAGCACGCCATTCAGACTTTACAGCGGTAAAACATAAAACCACTGGGTGAAGTGAAAATTGTGTCTAATTTCATACGGTTTGATAGATAGATAGATAGATAGATAGATAGATAGATAGATAGATAGATAGATAGATAGATGGATAAATTTATTTGAATTCGAGATGTACAATGAGCCAGTGACTCGTACTAAATACATTCGAATATATAAAATTCTACGTCTACAGTTAACTAAAAGCGTACAGATACTACATATTAATATAACGAGAATATAAATTACTTAAGATAATATACTTCCTAAAAAAGAATACATAATGTGGTAACATGGTTTCCAGTAACTAGTAAAGTATTATTAGTCATGATAAATATACTAAACATAGATGCTTAACATGAAGAACTGGTAATGTATAACAGCATAGTGGTAAAAATGGGAGAAATAAATACCAATGCAAAAAAACGCCGAAAAAAAAAACAAACAAACAAAAAAAAAAGGGTCGGTAGGATAATTAGGTAATAAAATAAGCTAAGATATATAAAGAACGGTAGAGCTAACTCTATTGTTCACATATGTTACATTTGCACAACTTGATGTGCCACTAGTAAGATTGGTTTTCGTTCTAGCTTTTTTAAATTTGTTTATGGATCATAACAACAACATTGATTTATTATTCCTTTAAGCCTTCATAATGCGGCAGAAGCTTGTGAAAATAGATTATGCCCCTCGAAGATTAGCGCAACGAGATTAAGCTATCTTTGTATCGAAACACGAAGTTGTTACCTCATCAGAGATATAATGCATGATTTACCCCAAAGGACACGTTAACTGTCGCATCAATAAGGGCATGGTGTGGCTTCTATCTAAACCCTCTCCCTAGGCGTGTCTCGTATATTTCCGTCAGCATTTGGTAAGCATTTGTCTCGTCGTATCTTTGTAATTTTTCTTCCCGTATTGTTTAAAGGTCGTTTTTTCTGCTTAAGTGATTTTGATTGTAGCGGGCCCCTGCCTCTATTCATAACAAAAGTGACCAATCAATTTCATAACTAAGACTTCCACAGTCATACAACAGACGGACATTCAACTGACATTCAGCTCTTTGCTAAGTCTGAAGAGCTAAACTTAATTATCTATTTGCGTCCAATTTCCGGCGGTTTCGAACAAATTCTTAAAACAGAATCCCCTCGTACGTTGATGCTAATGAGCTTAAGTTTCCTTTCACGCATTTCATCATTGTTTCTTTTTTAAATAAACCTTAGTTGGGAAAGGTAGTCCTTGCAATCTATTTTAAACCCAGAAAGCGATCAAAGGCCGCAAAAAGAATGAACAATTTTGTAGGGTGTCGGATTAGACAAGTCACGCAGATACCTCAAATCAGCATTACATTAACTCTGCTCAAGTTACTTCTGTTAGTAGGCCATTCTTGGATCATTTCCCAGTGACAAATGACTGAATTAACCTTTTCGTATTGTTGTGGTTGAAAATAAGTCTGTAGGCTTAAAGCACGTATTTCCCTTTCGCAAGTGGTTTCAAAACAAGAGCAGAGTCCGTTTAGATCGCTAAACGGATTTAAGGGTTAGGTGGAAAACGTGGAGTGCGGAGTGTAGAAAATGTGGAGTGTAAAAAATACGGAGTGTGGAAAAAGTGGAGTGTGAAAAATAAGGAGGGTGGAAAATGCAGTGTGTGGAAAACGCGGAGTGTGGAAAATGCGGAGTGTAGAAAATATATAAAAGAAAAAGACAAAAATATATACAAGCATAAAAAATTCTGTCTTACTTGGGTAATTAAGCTGTTTGTTATCTGTAAGAAGAATATAGAATATTAACCTCGCGCTAATGTTGTTGTTTTCCTTGGCTAGTTAGCCGTGAATCTTATAAACTGACAAAAAGCGCCTGGAAAATGTTTTTGATCAAGTTCGAAAAGGTTTTGCTGCCAACACCTAGATGGTGCAAATCTTGCAAAATGCGTTCTTCTATTACAGTTAACAATAAGCCATGGGTAGATTCAATTTAATTTGCATATTCACATGTGAGTACAAGTCGGCATTGATCTCCACATGGTCGCGCTCACAGAGGGCCATAATGGTCTTTAAAATCCCGCTTCTTCAGCCTAAATCGCTTTCAAAAGGTTATATTTCTAATATTCACGGTTAATATTCTGCTCACAGATAACAACAGCTTTATAAAGAATTGACTACCCAAGTAAGACAGATGCATGTATATCTTTTTGTCTTTTTCTTTATATATTTTCTACACTCGGCATTTTCCACACTCGGCATTTTCCACACTCCTCATTTTCCACACTCCGCGTTTTCTACACTCCGCACTCCACGCTTTCCACCTAACCGATTTAAAAGTATTTATGACATTTTGAAATTCATGAACATGTTATTGTGCAACATAACAAGAAATATGCACCGTTACAACGCCTACAAACTTTCTGAAAACGTGTCGTGTGTTTTGCAGTGATTTGTACCTATTGACCAAAATAGTAGGGAAAATAGAGACCGTGATGTGATCAAAGGACGTGATCATGTTAATCTCATTTACCGGCAAACGCAGTTAGAAGACCCTCGATCTCTCACTTTAGAGATAAACAACTCACAACAATGAGAAAGCATTTTTATTTCCTCATAAAAAGATCACATTGAAATCATATACGTAAGAGGTAGCGTAGAATAAAGTTTGTTATCTAGCTACGAAAGCTGGGCGAGTATCAGTTTGTGAAATCGTAACTAGATACAAAGTTTTATTTAATTTAATTTCGAGTTTGACTAATGGTCGTGGGTCGTAGGTCGTGGGTACAAGTCGTGGGGCGTGGGTGTGGGTTTAGGGTGTAGGCAAATGAAAAGTGGACGATGTCGCATTTCAACGTCTGTAAAAAAAACCTGGGCTAACAAACCCCCTATTTACAAGGGACGAGCACCAGCGGAAGTGGGGAAGTGCGTAAATAGTCGCAGCCACAAAAAAATGTTTCCCCGGTGAAAATATCTTGCGAAGCGTCTGGCACACGAGAAAGAGATCATTCTCTCTTGTCTGGAACTGTTCAATCAGTGAAGAAAGATGTACATATTTCCCTCTATAATGTAATTTCGTTTAGGAATGCAAAAAATCCATTTTTGGGTGGACGCGAATACCTTTTAAGCCCAAAAAGCCTCTTACGTGTTAATATTCCATTAAGGAATTCGATATTGAGAAATTGTTAAGGCCCCCTTATATTATCATTGAGACGGTGCAACGCACTCCTTGTACAAACATTTGTATTATGTCACGCTATCATCGCTATCCTCTTACACTCAAGACTAAATCTTGGCGTGGCTTTTCAACTTGTTTTTCTGATGACAACATGTCCTTGTATGAAAACATTTGTTACTCAGTGATCTTAGTATGATATTGTTTGTAGCATCGAAGACTTTCAGATCATCTATGGAATCTCGTGTTTATCAACGACCTTTTGACTGCCAAGCGGTTGGCGGCTTACGTTGGACAAAATTACGCCCACTGTAGCCGGATAGTTAGTCAATCAAGTACGAAAAATGATCTCCAAGTTTTCTATATATAATGAGATCTCATGTTTACCGAACACTCAGTTTTCAACAACAAACCCAACGCACAAGAGACTTCAGGTAACTTCCGACGGAGAGATCCAAGGTTGAAGAGATGACCAAGTTCCAAATTTTGTTTCTGACTTTTGTGGCTTGCGCTGTTATAATCCAGGTTAAAGGCTTAGATCTGTACCGCAGAAAATTTTATGGTGAGTTAAATTGTTGTACATAACTTTAACACGTGAACTGAATGTCCCGAAGAAAATGACTGTCCGAGTCATTTGCTTGTATCGGAAAATCTTGTGTCATGTAAAGACCATGTATTTCGTGGTGGATCAGTTGGTCAAATGCTGTCATCTGTTACCTTATTAAGGATTCGACAATCCTCATTGATTCCCCTCGTGCTATTTGTCGTTCACAGACGCGCCCATGAGAAGGAATAACGCGATAGATCTTTATGGTAAGTACGCCAGATGTTCATGTGTTTACTGTAGAGTTTAAAGACTGTATTTCCTTGCGGATTAGTAGATCAATTGCTGTCATCGGTTAGCTTGGTAATGACTCACCTATCTTCTTTTTTGATGCTCTTCGTGTTTTTCGTCGTTTACAGACGCGCCAATGATAAGGAAGGATGCGATGGACCTTTATGGTAAGTACGTTGGTGGCTTATAATTTCAGTGAGAGTAGCAGGACCATGAAGTGATGGCTTTTACGGCTAACGCTTCATAACTTTCTACGGCATTCACCAAAAATTTTTTCAATGGTTAATTCGATTTTCTTTTTACGATTAAACGTTAAAATTTGGCAATTTTCATTTCTAAAGGTTAATTTTTTTTTGGCCTTTTTACGACTAATAGTCAACTCCATTGAGACGCTCTTTCAGGGGACTGGTTAATTCCTGTCATCTGTTGCTTCGTGTAATATATCGCCTAGCATCTCTACTGATGACCTTTGTGTTCTCTGTCGTTTTCAGACGCGCCTTTGAGAACGGATGATAAGATAGACCTTTATGGTAAGTGGGAGTATGTATTTAGTTATTCAGTGAGAGTTTTAAGAGCGCTGGGAAACAGAAAATTCAGGTACAGGCCCACTTTTGTCTACTCCGGATTGTCGATTTCTTCTATCGCGTTTTTTACTTTATTCATTTCATTCTCAAAAAAGCATTTCTCCTTAAGATTTCGATGCATTTTCACGTCAAAAAGTAATGAGAAAAGTGAAAAAGCCATCTAAGGAATATCTTGAGACTCATAAAGTCTCATTGCTAAAACTGGTAGACAGGGCTGGCTAAAGGTGACCAAAGAAACCACCTGGTATGCTTTCTAACATTCCATCTGCTCATTATAATCATAACATCTGCTTTAGTATGAAAGTTCGCGTGTCTGAAATCGAGGTCAAACTCAAAGGCTTGTAAGCCACTTGTTTTAATCACATTGTGGTGTGTGAAATGTGAAATGTGAAATGTCATCCATAACTGCTCAGTCTCTGGGAAAAACGGAATGCATTCGTGACATACATTGCACTCTGCTTTAGAGGATCAGGGTTACGAAAATTAAAAACATTTTGGCATTGGTTTGGTCACTACAGATTGAATTTTGGTACGATTCGATTGACTGTTGCAACACCAGACCCAACGTGATCAAAACAACCGACCAGAACAAAGGAGAACATCACAAAACCAATTAGAACTCGAAAGAAGAACAGACAAAATGCCTAAAGCGCGAGAATTCGTTCTGATTAGTTGAAAGTTTGGCGCGAGTTTCCCGAGCGATCTTAGGCTCATTTGCCGATGTGCGGTAAATGAGCCTGCGCTCACCGTAGCTCCAAAGTCCTTCTCGGGAGGATCTAAAACCGGGCTCGAGAAAACCGCGGAAATCGAGCCTGGTATAATTCAAGACAAACTTCTTATTTTTAAAATCCCAATACGGGATTTATAATTCGTTCCTCAAACTCATATTTCACCCTTCGTTAGGTGATATTTTGATATGTAAGATCTTTCAGGTTAAGTTACCTATTCAACTCTCTCTGGGGTCAAACGCTCAATGCAAAGGAAACCCTCTTTGGTCAAATAACGCAGACAAGAAGCGAACATCGTGGTCTTGTTCGCAGCCGCCTTTTGTAGCCTTATGTCGCGAAATGCTTAGGAGCGCAACGCAACATTCCAACAAACGGCTGCGAAGACCACCACGACGGAGCTTAGAGTCTGACACCGGCTTGTTGGGGCAAGGCCCCACGCCGAAAAGGCACCTGATAACACATCTTTCATATTTATCTCCAGAGAGGCTGTTCAAGCCATGTAGGGACCAATCCTCCTCACAGTTTTGTGAACTTTGGGGAATTGGAATGGGGTATTGCCAGAGCTCGAAAGCCACGTACTTTCAGGGGTCAAACTATAACAGTTTCATTCAACATCATTGCCCATGTACTTGTGGAACGTGTAAATGAATCTAAAAAGGTGAGTAAAACGTCTCATTTCACAGTTCAACCCTTTTTACCATTGATCAGTATTCATACATTTCCAAAGGTGCTAATGATGAGAATTTTTTCAACAATCAAGAGCTTCTTGGGTTCAAAATTATTTCCTTTCCTTCCATGACCTCAATCTTTGATTCCGGAGATATTACTGTTGGGAGAAATTCGATGCCCATCACTCTTAGGGATTGCATGGAGTATTTTCTGGAGATTTGGAGATGTCTGAGAATAAAAACCCATACTTTTTACGGTGGCTAAATTACATTATCAACTCAGCTGAAAAAACTAATTTATTTGCTCATGAAGTAGTTGATGTAGGCTTTATTCTCTTTCCTGTTGACATAAATATACTTTTGTCTCACAAATATTTTAATTTACTTCCTGAAATTTTGAACTCTGAATTACTTAAATTAACTCAGTGGTTTCAAGCGAATAAGCTGTCCATTAACTTTAAAAAATCGAATTTTATGATTTTTAGCCCTCGCTAAAAAGGCAGACACTTGATAGATCTATTCAAATTGATGACAACAATGTTATTGGACGTGTGAAAGAAACAGTATTTCTGGGTGTTATCCTTGATGAGCATTTGTCATGGAAGCCTCACATTAGCGTTTCTAGAAAAATATAAAAATCAATTGGTATTATTTACAAGTCCGGTTTCTGCCTTCCCAAAACTTCCTGCGCTGCTTATATTATAGTTTAGTTTACCCTTACTTAACTTATTGTGTTTCAGTTTAGGGATCGACATATCAGTCTTAATTGAAATCGTATTATTATTCTGCGAAAGAAGACAATCAGAATCATAATTAAAGGTTCTTTTGATCCACATACCGATGTTCTCTTTAAAGAACATGGGATCTTAAAATTCTCGGACATCTATTTCTACCAAATAGGTAAATTTATGTATCTCTTTAAAAGGGGCTTGCTTCCTAAAAATTTTCATGATATGTTTACTCTTGCTAGCCAGATACATTCTTATAATACAAGAAATTCCAGCTTTTTCTACATACCTCATTATCGAACTAATTTTCGAAAATTCTCAATTCGGTTTCAAGGTCCTAAGTTTTTCAAAACGCTAAGTCGGGAAATTCAATACTCTGAAAGCATCAGCTTGTTTGGCAAAAGGCTTAAAAAATAATTCTTTCTTAGTTAAATATATTCTTTGTCAAGCTACACACCTTTTCTTTTTTTTTTTGACAATCTAAATTTTCATTCAGCACCTTTGATTTGTATGGTTTATCCTATAGTTTAAGGAAGCCTATACTTTATAAGCCCCCGGCTTCTAATAGGCTTCCTTGGTGTTACCGCTGTTCAGTTCCTTTGATTTTAAAGTTAATTTGATTATATTAGTTCTTTTTATCTTTGATATATCATAAATTTTGTATTCGGTTGATTTTTTTCTGTTATTGGCAATTAAAATGAAAAAATTACATTAAAAATGAGGATTACCAAAAATTTCTCTCACTTTTAACGAGAACCGTTTACTTCATTGTCTGCATTTTAGCTAATTTTGTTACTGTTGCACTAAGTTGTTTAAAATTCTTTGACGTTGTTTTATGACGGGGATCTCCCTGGCCATGAAACCCAACCGTATGCCCCCCTCCTCCTTCTCCTCGTTTCCTGGCCCTAATTTTTGTGTTCTTTTGTTTTTCGAACAGAATACATGTAGAGTGGACGGGTCGAAGATCTCTCTAACTTTCCTTTGCTAGTTAGTAGCTTTTGAATCAAACTTTGTTTAGTAAATCTCCAACAATGATTTTTATATCCCAGTACTGATAAATGGACCAATAAAAAAGTTCAATATACCAGTAGGCAGCGTGAAAGTTTTCCTCAGGGCTGGAAATAGCTAATATAATATGACGTGTTTATGTACGCATAGGTGGCAAGTTTAAGGATTTTTTAAGGCAACCTCGACGTATACGTAGTTTTTTTCAAGTGAAATATTCAACCAGTATGCCAATGCCCTGTACGTAATGTCCTGAAAATTTCAATAAACGAAATAAAGAGTCTCACAACTCATTCCGAATTCATTCACTCTGGCGTGCTTGGTTCTGGAGCGACAAGTTAGCTCGGGGCAATGAATCCTATGAATCGTCGATTCTCTGGATGCACCATCATCCTTTTAAAGATGATCCATTTCCTTAGACGCAGGTTCTTTAAAAGCGGCGGCCGCTTAACTTGTCTACCCCGACACAAATCAAAATGAGGAACTTTAAAGAAAGATGTCAAATACTTAGATTTTAATGATGTTATAGAATTTGTATCTCTGAGGGCGAAGAACGAGACTTTATGTCAAGGAATTATACAATTCTGTCGATACAATTTTTTTTTTATCTAATGGTGCCGTAATGCTGTTGAACTCTCTTCGAATAGATCCGAAGGAATGTCCATACAAGGTATTGGAAATTCTTGCCATAACTCGTTCGCACCCTGTCCATTGCGGCAACCACATGTCGACCAAGAAAACCTTATCATTCTTCCGTTAGATCCTAACCCTAACCTTGCTAAATTATTGTCTTGGCACTCTTATCTTTGGTGTTAATGCAACTTAGCTTGAAATAGCTGCCCCATAAAACAAGTGGCAAGAAATCCCAACAGTATTGTCAATTTTTATTGTAGAACATCAGATTCAGCAAAAAAGGCCACCCCATTTAGAAATTTCAGAACAACTTACTTGTGTCGGCATAAATAACCTTACCCTTGGATATAAGCTCAAGAATTTTGATGTTTCTAAATGAATCGAAAAGTATCTTCATTTCCTGTAATTTCAACATTGATGAGAGATTTGTCAACAAAAAACTGGCCACATTTATCTATCTTCGCCGCAAAGATAAAACTTTTCATAGGAAGACCAAATAACTTGTCAAGTAAAATCTGCTCAAAATAAACCTGCGCGCGTAGTTTCAGTGACTAGGGGCTTTTTTCAATTGAGTGTCGAAAGTGATCCTGGAGTTGCCTTGGGTTTGCTCTACGTCGCTCTGTGATTGGTCTAAAAAACTCGTACCACTCTCTCAACCAATGACTTGTAAAACCAATCTCAAGTTGGTCACTCGCATTTTCCCGCGCTTTAGGCAGGTTACCTGTTTTTACTCTGAGTTCTCATTGGTTAATGATGATGACACTCAGTTGGAAACCGCTCCAAATGTCGTATGTAATTTTTTTGAGGAAGAAAGAAACTCAGAGCTGCAAGTTATGATAAAAAGTTATTCTCATGTTCTAAACCTTGTATGATTACAAATAAATTTTACGAGGGAGAAAACCAGTCCTTCGAATTGTTTAAAGACACCAAAAGATTCTTACAAATGAAATATTTAAGGCTCTTTACACCTTTTTTTAAGTGAAGCACAGTCTTTCAATCTCTATTCCAAACTCTTCACCTCTGTCTCCGATGTCATAAGCTGCGATGTCCAGAATGGGAAGGCGGTATGGTTTGGGCGTGTCAACTTCTAGAATTGTGTGGTGCCATTTTCCATCTTTGACCTGCGAATATCATCAGCAAAATCTTTTCTTAGCAAAGAAAATCAATAACCTACGTATCAATTAAAATATTTATCACTTCTTTAAGTGATGTGATTTGTAATATCGCGATCTGTCATAAATTATTAAGACCTGTCTTAGTGAGGAGCTTTCAGATCTAATAAAAGAACCATCCGCGTAGGCTGTGATTTTGTGATAGGATCTACTGAAGGATTACAGAGAAAGGGGAGTGTAGCCAGGGTTCATTTTCTAGCTTCGCCATTAGCAATATTATGAGACCAAACAATGTAAGGCACGATAAAGTCAGTGATAAATTTAGCTGCTTACCGCACAGTCATCAAGGATGACCTTGGGCTTAAACTTGTTTGAAGACTCTGCGTGCATTTCAACTCCGTTGTCAGCCTTAATCTTGACAGACTTGGAAAATTCGTTTTTCTCATCGCCCCAGGCCACCGAGTCTTTACAATTGTATATGACCCTCTGCCTGGCTCGGTCACTCAGCAAGCGGAGAAATTCTAGTTGGCTTGGCTCGCTAACATATTCAATCTATAGGAAAATTACATCAGGAGTTTCTATGTTAATCAAAACTATAACAAAATTCTCGAACGAGATTGATAATTTTTTTAGTCACTACCTCGCTCTCTGATACTAACTGATACTTGGATAACCCGAGCAAAGGTCAACCGTAGAGTCAATCAAAAACGTCGAAAATTTAATCGTAGAGCCCTGGCGCAGGAGTTCGCAATGATGTGATTAGGAACGAATTATCTCGGGAAAAGAAAAGCTCTTTCAGACTGCACAACGCTACCTACATTTTTAAACATGCGCAGATCCTTTCCTAACCATTTATAACCATCAGCCCCGGTGAACCATTTCTTTTTTTCAGTAGCGAAGGTCTGAAGAAACTGAAAAAAAAAAAAACACCAAAAGAACAAGTAAATCAAGCTCTCTCCTGGGATCGACCAATAAAAGAGCATATGTAATTATAAAAGGTTTTATAATCTCTTGTATATCTTTAAAGTTGCAGTAACAAGTTAAACCGGATTAAACTCGTACCTCATCATTACTCTTGGGGTAAAGACAAGTTGAGTAAGTATGCTGTTCGCATCGAACTCTAATGGCATCGTTAGGTAGACCATCATTAGGGTCGATCCAATAAAATCCTTCAAAGAAAAAATAAATAATCTAAGTCTCAAAGTAAAAGAAGCTATTTTGATCGACTTAGAGCGCACCTCAATTTTATATCGTTCAACCAAACCTAAAGTTATTATATAATCGGTCAATGAGAAGACATGAAAGAAGCACAAGGAAAGAAAAGGAACTCAAAGTAGGGACGAGCAAGCTTCTTGATGCGCAGAAAAAACAAGTCTAAGTCACAATTGGTTTTAAGGCAAAAAAAAAAAAAAAACAGTTCTGAGTTACCTTAGACTCTCACCCTTATTCTTTGTTAAAACCTTGTCTTTAAAAATATTTGATATCATACCGCTTGGGAGGTCAGGATAAGACATGTACAAGTCTTTACAGGTCCTCGCGGGAAATAAACTTGAGCCGTTTGGCTTTTTCATCAACGTAAGTTTCTTCTTCACTAGAGTGACAAAGTTTGATAGCTGAAATGAAAAATCAAGCAAGAGATGTGTAATTTTATTTACCAAACTGGAAAAAAAGGGTAAAAAGAACACTATCATCACGGCACTTAATCCTTTAACCCTAAAAATGAATGACATATAATATTTCGCTACAGAATCAACTCTGAATCAAACATTAGCAATAGAAAATATTTTTTGTTTGACAAATTCTCTTCGTTAATACTAAAAGGAACAAGTAAAGAAAAGTGTGGAGTATACGAATGCTGATGTTAAGGGTGTAAAGAGTGTAACGAGTGAAGCTAAACTTACCGGATCATGCTCCTGACCGTCCACCTTCAAACAAATGAATCATGTTATTACCATATAATCACGTTAAAGATAAATGCAGCATGCAGAGGTCGAAAATAATGACAGACCTGGTACTCGCATGTTAATCTCAAATGCATCATTGTTATTTGCAACTGCCAATGGCTGGGGGAAAACAAAGTTTATTTTTGTTGAGATTTTATGAAGCGAGACGAAGCAAGAAAAGCGCGAAAGACGATTCCATCTTCCAGTTCGTGTGGCCGATCATAACACAGCATTGGCACCATCTTGCCGAACAGGGAAACACGTTGATTTTATACGAACAAATTTCGGCTGACATGATTTACTTAAAAAGTACTGGCGCTTTAAGAAAATCCGTGCCATTTCCCTCTTTTTTTTTTTTTTTTTCTTAAAACGAGGCAATTTCAATTATAACTATCAAGTTAAACAATCCTCACCGACTTTTGACTTCTATAGAGATTAACTGTTCCCGCTTTTTCGGCCGTAAGCGGTGGTTCTTGCGGTGCCTCTGTCAATTGTCCAAACCCAGTGTACCCTGAAGATGTCTGATATAAAATAACAAAAAAAGAGTTAAAGTTAAAGAAAACAAATTCATGATGTTCGTGGCCTGTCGCCTGAAAGTATCGGAGGATTCATCCACTCTCTTGGCTTAACACAGAAGTTTAATTATAAAATGCAGAGGTAGTTTTTGGAATAATTGCTTACCACAAGTTCGCTAAGGGAAATCTGAAATTCAGGAAACAGACAACGTTAAATTCAGAGAAGAGAAGACGAACAAACAAACAAAAAAACCTTGAATATGAATTCGGAGAGGGCTGGAGACACCTACAAGCTTGGACAATTACTGTTGAGAAAAGTCTAGCTTACACTCCAACAATAACATTTCTTCCTTCCCCGAATCCATGCGACTTGAAATTTCTAGCGCATTAACTGTATAACATATGGCTCACAAGCAACATCGTTTGAGGGGAGAAAAGGAAGCAATGTCTTAACTTTACAAAACTGTCTCGGCAGGTTCGTAAAGCTATATAGATGCCCAGCTAGAAAAAAGTTTTCAGAAAACAACAACAACAACAACAACAACAACAACAACAGCAAAAACTATAAAAAAAAGTAGAGTAAACCTCACTTTCATGCTAGTATATTATTCAAAATATAGATGTCTGTAGTGGACTTAAGGATTGGACGAAAGAACACTCACCGCTGGGCCAGGCGGTCCGGGCTCTCCGGGATCACCCTATTAAAAGTGAGATCAAGAAAAACCAAACAAAACAAAGTAAATAAAAAAAATGTCAATGTGTACTGTGCCAAATAGCCGAGATTCGGCACCCTCACTTGTCAAACTTATTGCTCTTCAGATCGTAATTAGGGACCTTAAGCAAACCACGACGGCGACGGCAACGCGGACGTGGCAGAACAATAGCTCAGCACGTGCGTTTTTAACCCTAGTACATTTCTTAGCCGTCTTTTGCAAGGCAACAACGTGAAATCACCAAAATTTGCCTCATCAAAGAACCGAAAGCACGACGGCAAATTATTTTAATTTAAATTTGGAACTCAACGCTACTTTTATACGTTATGTTGAGGTTTAGTTGTGGCGTCGTATGAGATGGTAAACACATGCAGCCATTTTCGAAATTCTAATTAAAAGTAGAAATTCAGTTTTTAATCGATGTCTTCCTTGACGTTGCCGTCTTGACTGCTTAAGGTCTCAAATCTTTTTAACAGCGGTACTTCAGGAAAATATTACACCAAGATTCTACTCATGATCCGTACAAATCGTATCTTTTTTTTAAGGGTCTCTGAAAAATATTTCACCAAGATTTTACGTATGATTTGTAAAAATCGAATACCTTTTTGAGGTTCTCAATGTTTGTGTTCAATGTTAGGCATAAAATCTGACATATTTTAACCGTTAGTCGTAAAGAAAGTTAACCGTGAAAATTTTTCTTATAATCACAAAGGAAGGGAAGTTAATCATTAGCTGTAAAATGGCCAAAATTTTTAACCATTAACCGTAAAAGCTTTCACCTCACTGAGACCATCTTTCTTTATATTAAACTGCTCAAATTATCGAAACGCAAAGTGTTGGGAATGTGCTTCACCTAGTCAGATTCTGCTAATGCCTGGAAAGAAATTATCTTATACGAGACTACTAAATCACCAATGGAATTGATAGCAACGGATACTTTGTCGTATAATAAGTTAGCTTGTGCTCTTTTCGACGAGTAAACAAATATTTTTGAAGATTAACGATATGACTTACCCGTTGACCCTCCGTTCCCTGGGGAAATCAATAGCAAGAAAACCATTTGTTAGTAGTGTATTGGATAAATACTATCACAAGTAAAAATGAAAAAAAAAAAGACAAATCATATTATAAAACCGAACCCAGGAGTTCTGGATTCAGAAAATATTGTTCGTACGAACTGTCGTTTTACCTGTACTCCACGATCACCCTGAGAAAAGAAGAGAGAGAAGCAGAGCTGTCAGCTCACATTCTTAATAAAAATTTCATTCCTTGTCTTAAATACCCCACTTGCCCATATGGACTTTAAAGGAAAGGTGGGTCGTAGGGGGGTAATTAGAGCCCATGACATCGTCTTCAATGTATTAAGGTCAATAAGAACACTGGATTCAAGCTCATGAAAACAGAAGCGCAAACGCGCAAATCAGCTGGAGCGGAAGGGACCCTCTACATATTGGCATGCCGGCATAGTAACAGGTCAAAGGGTGAAGGTAACAGCAGTGGTTAAGTCAGCTGACGAGCCTGTTGACCCCTCTGGCCGCAAGTTTTGACGGTTTCCGAACCATAAGGCGAAAAGAGGTATATTGTTATAGCTCTTAGATGAGATCTTTGTATATCGAAGTTACCCCTCCCCCCCTCGAAATTCCTTAGGTTTCCCTGCAGTTTCCGAGGGTGAGAGGCACTGTGAGATTAAATCCACTCTCTCAAGAGCAATTGGCAATGGCTCGGCCAGAGTTCGAGGAGTAAAGTAAAGCAGAGGGCCGTAGGGTGCGCCTTGAGAACAAAGTTTTGTCTGAAGTTTAGAGGTATCGAAACAAAACTTAGAAGAGGTAAAATTTGTAACTCATAGGCTGATTTACAATTTCACTGGAAATACTAAGAATCAATCGTTTTACTTACTTTGACTCCTAATGGACCAGATTGGCCCATCAATCCCTGCAACATAAAAGGAAAAGTCAATAAGTAGTCAATCAAACAATAGATATACTGCTAAATTCTGCTCCTATCTCAACTTATTTTCACGTATAGTATTCACTCACTGATACCTTAGAACTCTCTCTTATTTCTTATGTTTCATTGGAATTTTTGCGCAGGGCATTTTGGCGCACAACCGGTTAGAATTGATCCCCTCGTGCATGTCTAGCATTTGACTCCTTCGTTCTCGAGCCATCGCGTAAGGCCCACATAAGGGGATCTATTTTATGTCTTTCAGTAAAAGCACGCGCGGGGGATTGCAGGTCGTAATAATGATACTGAGCTATTTGATCCTAGGATTTTAAGGGTGAATATCACGTACCACTTTTCCCTGTTCACCCGATATTCCGGGGATTCCTTGGTCCCCGTCAGTTCCCTGAGAAGAAATAATAGGAATAACAAGCATATACTAAACAATGAATCAAATAAATAACAACAATAACCAAAACAAAATCTGCGGCTTAAGGCCTTTATTTTCGTGCAAAAAAATTCTCAAACTTTGCTGGGCTTGGCCTTATTGGGGAAATGAACAACACGCAGGACTATTTTTGCGCTTCTGAAAATAGCCTACTTTTTTCTGTAAAGATGCGTCATTTGTGAAAAGCAAAATACAGCTAATGCAGGGTTGACCGAGAGCAAAGTTGGTCTATCTGTGATAATTACCATTAATTAAGCTTCTTGGTGGCCTACCTGTGGTCCTTCATTTCCACTGCTCCCCGGAGGGCCGATGTCGCCTTGAGCGCCCTGTCATGGGAAAGAGCCGTTTATTCTGGGAATAATGAAGGGGAGAAAGGCAACCAAAAGAGAGACAAAAAACAACTGAAGCCACTGAACAAGTTATCGCATAAACGGAAAAACGACTATTGTTGAATTGAACTTCCTTAGAGGATACGACTTTGCTTAAGTTAGCGAAGATAACCCATTCGTAACGATTACTGTACCTAGCACTTTTCATTACAGATGGACTTCAGAGAACATTACTTTCTTTAGCACCCTGAGAACGCTCCTCCAATAAGTAAGACAAGTGATAAGTGTCACCTCACCTTAGGTCCTAGGTTTCCTTCTGGGCCCGGATCCCCTTGTTCACCTCTTTCTCCCTAGATGTATGCCAAGTACGTTAAGCTAATTTTATCGCAAATTTTTGTTGGTTCCTACTTCTGATCTATCGGAGGACCAGGTCGCGTCTTATTGGTTGAGGGGATGGACCAATCACAGCGAGTTAAGTAAAACCAACGCAACCTCGGATTACCTTCGAAAACTGCTTTCATGAAACTCAAATTCAGTGAATATAGGCGAATTTTTTTGAATATCACTAATGCTTAGTGAGGACTCTTCCTAGGTTTCTTCCAGCATTACAAAAGTACAAAGGGGCACCACAAAAAAAATAGTCGTGCACGGAGCGATCTGGTTCACTACTGTTTGTGCTAAAAATTAAGGAAACAAATAAACAAAAAAGAGAAAATTCTTACTCCTACAGGTTTTGGTTACATGTTTAGCTTATATACAAAAAGGGTACGAGAGAGAGAGAGAGAGAGAGAGAGAGAGAGAGAGAGAGAGAGAGAGAGAGAGAGAGAGAGAGAGAAAAAAAATGAGGAATATTTACTTTTTCTCCTCTCTGGCCTTCAGTTCCTTCTTCTCCAGGTTCACCCTGATCTCCCTGAAGGAATGAATGAATTCAGAATGTTTCAACACTCACATACTGTTTTCGTTTAGAGTACTGTGCATGAATACTGGAGCACTAGCTAACAATGCCTAATTCTCTTTTGTTTGTGCTGGGCAAGCTGTATGCCTCAATGCTAAAAACAATGGGCGAGGCGATTAAAAATAAGATATGTTGTAAACTTCAACCGAACAGGGTACACGCATCTCTATAATTACCTGAGCCTTGTTGATCGAGACCCTATTAATTCTAATGCTGGGTAAGCTGCGTACAAACCTTATTCATTGCCACAAGAGTTAGTTATGACTTTGCGTATATCAACTCGGCCCAGGCCCATAAAGGATCTCATGCAAGAGTAGTACTAATCACAAGCGAAATATTTGTAAGACCTTACTTACAGTATCTCCACGGGGTCCCGTGGTTCCTCTTGGCCCTTCTGCACCAGCACGTCCCTGTGGATAGCATAACGAAAAACGACTTGTTATAGACATTTTATCTCGATATGAAATGTCTTTTTCATGACTAAATGCAAGCGTATGGGCGAAATGCGTGTGTGTTTACTATGACTAGGCGACCGAAACACGATCATTCGGCGCGTCCCAATCGCGTCCTTTAATCGCTGTTTTTCACGTAATTACTTTGAGAACCTGATAGCATGAACCATTTAACGGTATTCTGTTTCTGAATTAACGAAGAATTAACCCTTATATTAAAACAGCATTACATTTGTCTTAAATTCATTCGAAGACAAAATACAGAAGTGGTGGCAAAAGTAGAAGTGTACCAGAGTAACACCCATTATCAAGATTTTCCTCGAGTTTCCTTGCAATTGAACCGCGTTCCCTGCGCCTTTCTGATCACTTCAGTGAAGTATTGCCTTTAATCGTGGATGACTCGAAACTTGCGTTCCTCGAACCATTTATGCTGATCTTTACATAGCGAGACTCCAAGTTTAAAAAATAATTTTCGTTTACATAAAAGGTGAATGATCTTTCTCAGAGAATATGCTTATTCTTGTAAACCATTCTACGAGAAACACTATTTTTTCTGGAAGGCTACTATAACAGAATAATTTCGGTGCAAAGCGCAAGCAATGGTTTTAAAATCCTAAATCTTGCATCAAGTTTGAAATACTCTCTGCATGTTTGTGCTACTTACGTCATCACCACTGGTTCCGTCTCTGCCCTGTTCACCTTTAGACCCATCAAGACCTGGCTCTCCTTGAGCTCCTTGATCACCTTGTACGCCCATTTGACCCTGGTCTCCCTGTAAATATGCTTCATTGTTATGCACTGACATGCATCATTAACTTAGGGACGACATAAACGAAAAGACGACACAAAATTTAACGAACTACACCATCAACGTAACGACGTCATAGTTTAACGTCACTAACTTAACGACGTCCTTAACTTAACGACAACATTAACCTAACACGTCTTAAACTTGACAAGGTCCTAAACTTAACGACGTCATCAACCTAAGTGACGTCACTAAGTTTACGACGTCATAGACTTAACGAACTCTGAATTCGATTCAATCTATGTCTTTGAAGCTGTACAGAGACCCTGCGCCAGTAATTGGTAGAAGCAGATCTTTGACACGATTCAAAGTTTTTTTCCCTCATGAAAGCGCATGATACTTTTCCGTGAGTATTTTTACATACCTTGGGTCCTTGAAGTCCTGGTGCACCCAGTTCTCCTGTCGCTCCTGTTTCACCCTATGAGAATTAATGAGCAAGTTGATTACCAAAAGAACGACCAAAAAATGAATTCATAAGTAAATCAACCGACCATACGACCCATCGCTTTACTAATCAACCATCAGTCAGTCAATTTGTCAGTCGATCGGTCAGAGAGTCGGCCAGTCGGTCAGTTAACCAGTTAGTCCGCTGATCTATGAGTCAGTCAGTTAGCCAGTCGGACAGCTGGTTAGTAAGTCAATGATTCAGTCAGTTAGTCTGACAGCTGGTTAATAAGTCAATGATTTAGTCAATCAGTCTGACAGCTGGTTAGTAAGTCAATGATTCAGTCAATCAGTCTGACAGCTGGTTAGTAAGTCAATGATTCAGTCAATCAGTCTGACAGCTGGTTAGTAAGTCAATGATTCAGTCAATCAGTCTGACAGCTGGTTAGTAAGTCAATGATTCAGTCAATCAGTCTGACAGCTGGTTAGTAAGTCAATGATTCAGTCAATCAGTCTGACAGCTGGTTAGTAAGTCAATGATTCAGTCAATCAGTCTGACAGCTGGTTAGTAAGTCAATGATTCAGTCAATCAGAGAGTGCGCTGGTTAGTAAGTCAATGATTTTGTTAGTCAGTCTGACGGCTGGTTAGAAATTCAATGATTCAGTCAGTCAGTCTGACAGCTGGTAAGTCAATCACTCAGTCGGTAAGTTGTTCAATTGGCTAGAAACTCACTGATGCATATGTCTGTAAACCTAGGACCTCAATTATCATGTATAAGTATCACACACCGTTGAGGTGGCCAGTTACTTGGAAAAAAATCGTGGCATTTAAATTACATACTTCGTTTCCTGGTCGACCTTGGGTACCTTGCAATCCATCTGGTCCTACCATTCCCTAGAAAGAGAAAACAATCACATTATTTAGAAAAGGCTAAATTGCCAAACAAAATTGAAACAATACAAATACAACAAAAAGTGTTCGACCGTAACTCACCAGTGATCCTCGGGCTCCATCTTTGCCGTCACTTCCGGGTTCTCCTAACTCACCCTACAAGAAGCAGAGGTACACGCAGCTACATGATCATTTCGCAAGTTCATGTTATAAAAAATTCTTTTTCGAAAAAGGAGGCCCGAGCCAACTCCGTAATAAAAGAAGCAATGAACCTATTAAACCAGCCAAAACATTTGGTTTTAATAACTGGGGATTCGAACCTTCTGAAATTCCAAAACAAACAAGTGACAAATTTGCGCTGACAGAAAACTGAAAAACTAAAATTTAGCTCCGAAAAACGATAAGAAAACAACAGGAAACGAAAAAATCCACGTCAATTTCCAATGTCAAAGAACGTGATTGGCTCATATGATGAAATCACGCGCGCTGCACGTAATACAATAACGTTATACGGGAGGTGGGGTTGGAAGACGAGAAAAATTTTAGCTTAAAATATGAAAACCTAAGAAATTTACAACATCTGTTTTAAATTGAACGTCCCCATAACTCCTATATCATTGATGTCAGTATTATTGCATTTCAAATGTTGGTGAATGATATAACGCCTGCTCACCTTCGCTCCCTCGTTGCCTACAGCTCCTCTTGATCCAGTTGGACCAACACTTCCCTGTAAAAATCAAAGCATAAGAATCGTCTAACCCTTCTTTTTCTATTTAAGGAGACAAAAAGATAACAATAGCAGTTAGATCACGAGTGGTGCCATACCCGCATTCCGACAGCCCCTTGTGGTCCGGGTGGTCCGGCGGGTCCTGCTCTTCCCTAGTAAAAAAAAAAAATTTAAAAGGTGAGAAGTTTTGCTCATTAAATTTTGTTTCTTCGAGTTCTTGTTGCCTTTGACCCCTTGGAGTGGCTTGAATCTAATTTTCCCCCACAACATCACCCCTGAATCACACATTAAGGTCACAAGAATAAAGGAAATGATCACTAACTATATAAGATCGTGATTGTTACAGAAATTCTCCTTGTCAGCACCTTAGAAAATGTACGGATAACAGTTCGAAGAATATGCATACTGATGTTAGGGTGTATAGGGTTAACGTCTACCTTGTGACGTTGTCTCCTGAAGTATATAAAAAAGAAAAAAAACGGAATTTATTTCTCACACTTGGTCCAGTAGAGCCCAGTTCTCCGGGTGGCCCGTCTTGTCCAGGGCGACCCTGGGGTTGAATAATATTTGAGTCATAATTAGAATAAATGAGAAATTTTATTCATAAACATGACGAGAGTAAGGAGAATCAACCTTTTCGCGACACGAGTATTTCAAGTCAGGATCGAACCATGTCTACGCAGAATTACAACTTCAGTTGAACTCGAGCTCGTAACCTGTTCCAGAATTTCAGTTAGTATATGGAAGCGTAATGGTGAACAGTGTCCTAGAACAAAGCGGAAAAAGAGAGAAGTTTGGGTCGGGTCGCGTAGTTCATTACGTGACCCAAGTCTTCCTTGCGCATCTTTTAACAAACTGAACGCCTGGAAAAGGCCCTGTGTAAAAAGTTACAAGTTCTCCTTTTCCTCACGTTTCCTTACATATTTTTATGGACGTTTCCATCATCTACCCATATTTTTCACGACAGCGGTTACTTCTCATGTTTTCCTTGGAAATTTGGGCCGAAAATAATTTAATTGCACATGCTTGACACTTGTCTGTCTTGTTTTAATAATATATCAAAGTGAATCAGGAAACATCTATAGAGACACTGAACTAGCTACAACAACACAAAAGCGATAACAAATACCATAGCTCCTGAAGTTCCTGCAGCTCCTGGCCCTCCGAAGCCGCCCACCTCACCCTAGTATCCATGGAAACAAGATAGAGGAAACAATGTGAGATTGCTGTGTGTGTGTGTCCAGCAATCGAATGTATGAGTAAATAACTTAGTTTAGTTTAAAATGTTGTGTCTTAATTTAATAAACCTTTTGGATCGTGGAACACAATGGATAAATTGCTAAGGATGCTTATAGACGCAAAACAACAAGGGCTAAGACAGAATTATCTCAGTAGAGTTGCCTCTTTGCAATTGTTTTTCTGAAATCTGGGTGTCCTCTGAGTTGATTAAGAAGTTCTGATTTTTTTCTCAAGAAGAGACAAGTATGTCACGAAATAAAAAAAGAAAATTCTTAAAGGCTGAAGAAAGTATTCACAACTAAACAAATCAACATGAAAAGAAGCAAACAAAACAAAAACCAGCAAGCAAGAAACAAACCCCCCCAACCCCTCCTACCGATCTTCGCTTTTGCCCCCCAACCCCCTTCTCTCCCTGTAGACAGCTAAGTCTAATAACTTTGCCTTGGGGAAAAAGAAACCAGAAATAAATAGAAATACAGATACCTTTCTACCAGGTTGGCCATTAGCACCTGTCACTCCTACACTCCCCACAGACCCCTGAAGATAACAAAGAAACAATTTCACAGGATAATTTACTGCTCCATTTAATTCCTTATTCTGCTTGAACATCTTGTTTACCATCCAAGTTGTCCAGTGCCAGGTTAGGGTAAGTCCTTTCCAGATAAGGGTCTTAACAGTTTTCATGTGTATTACTGATCCTTTAGGAGGGATATTAGTCCAAAGCTAATCGCTCGCTCCCTCCCAGCAAAGAAAAAACCGGGCTACTCACTGCATTTGACATCGCAAGGAACAAGGACAGTAACCTCACGCAAAGATCCAAATCAATTTGCTTGCAATTTCGCCTTCGTTTCTTCCAAATTCTGTTTGGGATCTCAAGCTGTGTGTATATCTTGAACCCGTCTATCCTTCTCGAGAATATGAATAATATGATTTCTGGAGCATACTTTTCCCTGAAAATTATCACATATAAATGTCATATTTTACATACCGCTGCTCCTGGAGGTCCAAGTAATCCCGTGGGCCCTCGTTGGCCTCCTTCACCCTAAGGAAGGAAATGAATTAAAACTTTATTATTACCACTAAACACAGGATAGTTGAGTCGGAAAAAAGTCATGGTCAATTAGTCAGCCGCGGTACCTCTTCTCCGCTGTCGCCACGATATCCTTTGGGTCCCATGTCACCCATGACACCCTAAAGAGCACAAGTAAGTTTACAAAATTGACATTCTCTCTTTTATCCCTTTCAAAATAGAGCTTTTATGTTATTTTACAGAACTTATTATTAACTTAACTTAGAACGTGTGAAGGAACGTAGGAATACATAGAATGATTCTCACAGTTTGGCGTAATATGCAAGTCTAGAGGTTTCAGTGCACATAGTCATCAACGCTACCTCATCTCCACTAGACCCTGGTCCACCAGCCGGCCCAGTCTCCCCAGGGGAGCCCTGAAGAGAGAGAGACCTTTCAGTAAACACTGAAGGAAAAACACGACATATTACCAGCACCAACTGAACTAGATACGACAACTGATAGATTTGGTGCCACATCAAGGACAGAATATGTTCAGAAATAATGCAAACAAATTAGTAAAATAAGAACTAGTTTTGGACGTGCACATTCTAATGAATTAGTTTTCAATTTGTCTCATTTCGTCAGATATGCCGCTTTATGGTATATTCTTAGTATCTTAAAGTTTTACTGATTGTTTTTTGTTGCTGTTTTTTTTTTTTATCAAGATGGAAATTAACTGTATGCAGGTGAACGTGAGGTTGACGAACAATTCTCTCTCACCTTTTCCCCAGTCGTCCCGGCAGCCCCTGCGTCTCCTTCCGGACCTGGCGGTCCCTAGAGAAACATAGCGAAGAACACCTAGTCAGGAGTTACCAAGACAATCGATGAAGCT